ACTAATTGGAGCTTAAGACAGTCGGTGAACTATTATTAGTTCAGTGCATAAGTAAAACAATTTTCATTTAAATGTTTTCATAAGTCTGTTATATTATAAGTTTAGATTGAGCGATTCAGAAAGGGGCAGTATGAGTTATTATTGATTACCCAAGAGTTAAATTATCAGTGGCTTAAAAACCTTCTTCACTTGTAGATAAACTATTTTATTTACTTTACTTTTGGATCCTTCAAAAGATGATTTCAAAGTATAAGTCTTTAAAAATTTATTTAAAAAAATGCATTCTACCACAACAGCATTCCCAGTCGCTTGAGAAGAGTTTCCCATACGTGATATTTGATCTCTTCTTCCCCTTTATTTTCGCTCTAAGAAATTGATCCGTTTTTTATTTGTCCTATTCCACTTTTTCATACATTTAGCGTGATTGATCGCCTTTTGTTTCCCATGATGTGGGGATATTGATCCAGGCATTAGGGATGCTTATTCAAATTCCCTCCGTATAGTTAATGCGCTTCTTAATGGATCCTTTATTTTGAAGCAACCCCCATTGCGTTGCCATTCGATTGCCAATGTCTTTGACACTTCATCAATAATTTAACCGCATTTTCAATGTGCCAGCAACGTGCAACGTGCACCTGCAACTGTGAGAGCCAGCCACCTGCCACGAATGCTGGAAAACAAAAGAATGCTGAGAGGGAAGACACCTTCAATTACGCCGGGATCCGCCCCTCGCCCGCATCTTCGTTGGCCGCCTGCCTTCCTTTCTTCCACTCCAATTGGCTTAAACGCATATATCAGAGTTGTGACACATGGTGCTCGATTATTGATTAGTGTAAGTGCCATTAAGGGCGGTCTCTACTCCTGCTTTGGCTCTTTCCGGGACTACGTGACCAGCTAGCAGAGGGGATTCCGGACAGCTGTTCGCCTTATCCTTTCCGTTTTCCTCTTTAGAGGGCAAAAACTTATCCAGAAAGCGGCCGGTTTCTTTCACTGGCTGAGGCAGCATATCCCTTAGGATATCTCTCCATTGTATCCTTTACCGGGTCGGACCAGGTTGCTTCCTCTTATTCTTTTTCTGGCCTTGTGCAACTCAATCGACGGGGCACATTCGCGCCTAGTTTACGACAGCTGCCAAGCATCTTCCTCTCATTCCCTCTGGAGCTCGTTCCTAAGAGCTACCCTTACTTTCTTGTGCTTGTGCTGGCTGTTGCTTCCTGGCGGCTGATTGATCCTCGCTTCGATCTTGTTACAGCTGCTGCCTCAGTTCCCAGTTGCCAGGTACGCGGGCCGTTGTCCTGTCTCGGGCTCTGTGTTTACTTACCTTTCTGCTGTCATCTTGTTTTTTTTTGCCCGTCTCAACTTTTGCTCTAATTGTTATTTTAATTGGCAAGCATTGTATGTTATCTTTTTTTTTCCAAAAGCGGATTAGGTCTTAGGTCCTAAATATAACATTTTTTTAAATAAATTTCAGCAACGAATTTCTAAGGTCGTCTCTAACTATTTTGTTTATATTTGGATGTTCTCAGAAAACAGTTATGGTTAGATTACTTTTTAAAAACAAAGTTGAAATCATTAAAAACACCTAAAAACATTCCCTGAAACTGTTTCACTTTCTATAATTCAAACCAATCATGATATTTCGTTTTACCCTTAGTATGTACATATGTATTCGTTGCCTATTTTTTTTTTAATATTTACTTACAAAATAAAATCAATATGTGAGCATGATATTTCTTTTATCCTTTTTATGCACAACCAACGATGCATACTTTTTTAATGTTTCCTCACTTAAAGGACCGTGTCAAGATGCTGATATAAGATAAGATATCCAAGGTCTAAGAGGTTTCTGCTTGAAAAAATATACTCGCATGGTCAAACATTTGTATATGCTTCTGTGTGAAATAAAAATACGGATTACTAAATTCAATTTACGGACGGCTTTTCCAGTAAATCGCTTTTGTAGCCTCACTCAATCAAGCTAAAGGCACTTTCCGATATCCCATACCACATTCCCTTTGATCGCCCAATTATCCCCTAGATAAGCACATATTTGTAGTTTCCCTTTTGCCAGGAATTTGTCGCTGTGCTCCATTTTAAGCCCTAATTCAATAAAGAATGTCCCAGACGCTTTGTTTATTCCTCAGAATCTAAGAAATTCCCTTTGATTTTACTTTCTACCAGCGGCAGACAAATTCCCTTTTGTCATTTGCCAAAAAAACAAAAAATATAACGCTCAATTCAATTTAAATAATTCTATCGTTTATTTGACGACTTGGTTGTTGTTTGCCAGAATGTTTTCTTCACTTATGTATGTGAAATTCTTTCCGCAAAGGGGACAAGGACAACCCTTTTTTGCGACCATTAAGCCACAGCATTGTTTGTCATGAAGGATAGGAGGAGGAAATCGCGAAAGGGTAGGAGTGAGCGTACACATACACATTCAAACGCAGACACGCTAATATAATATTTATAGTTGGTGTTTTACTTCCGGCCATTTCGGCTTGGCTCCTTTTATTGAATTGAATTTGTCGCACAATGGAAATAAAATTGAAATGTGTCCAGGAAGCGATTCCCGAATGCAAAGCACGCTCGAAGTTGTCAAAAAAGAAATATTTGTATTTTGGCATAGGGGTTGGTTTGCTATCCTGATTCCGCTCCTGCTTCAGGCCATTAGCTGCAGCAACAGGATAATCACAATTGCGGCAGCTGGCTGGTTGTAGGAAAACAGGAAAAACAGAGGGTTAGAAAACGAGAAGCGACAAGCTTTCGAAAACGTACAGAACTTGACCATGAAAAAGGATTAACTCATTTTTTAATTACACAAATTTTCGCTGTAGGGTGTACAGTAAATGCAATAAATATTCAAATAATAATGCCCTCTTACAGTCTACATAATCACATGGTCTACAGAAGATCTCTTTATATGAAATTATAAAACAAAATCATTGATATTTATATTTACCTACACATATTTACCTGTATATATATATGAAATCTTTATCTTGAAATATTACACTTTTCCCAAAACATCTCCGCTTGTAACTTGATTTTTCCATAAGGCAGATGTTGAATTGGGTTGGTCTGGGTAAAATTGCCGGTCCTTCTTGTCTTGACCTCAATCTAATGAGGCATGAAGGTTTTTCAGTTTGTCGGTTTTTGGTAATACGACACCGGAGTTTTTAGAGCAACAGGCTTGCGCTGCCACCTTGTTGTTGAGAGATCCCAATCGAATGGGATTTCCTATTGGGAAAACCATCCATCAGGTGGCAACGCCATTCATAGACTTTTCTTTTTGTCTGTTTTTGGTCTACGTGACCAAACTACAATGTATTTGTGTGCGTGTGTTTTATGTTGCACCCCCAACCCCGATGTTAAACAACAACAACAAATGCGAGGAAGTCTGATGGGAAAAGAGAAAGAGAGAGAGAGAGGCCTAGTGAGAGGGAGAGACGAACTAAGCTAGAGAGTGAGAGCGGGTGGGTGAAATGAGCGGAGTTGGAGTTCCTCTCCCAATCGGTAGGCCTTGCTCTTTATTGTTTTTTGTGCATTCGTTGCATGTAACATTTGTTGCCCCACACAAACCCGTATATAAATATACATAAAGTATATAATTGAGCTGCATATGGCAGCATATGTCGAGGCAAAACCACTAAAATACAACTGGGGCAACAACAAGAAAAGCTCCGAGAAAAACTTGCCCAGCATTGCAGCAACATTTGTTGCAGCTGCAGTGTTAATGTCTTGCATTCTTGTAAAACTCTGACTCACGTACTTGTTCCGTTCGTTTTTTATTTATTTACTTTTTTTTTTGGTGTGTGCAGCAGCAACATCAGCGATAAGAGCTTTTGAGTTGCCTTAATGTGGCAGGCTTTTTTCATTATCTATATGGAACGCATACGGTGTGTGGATGTATCCCTCTCTTTCTTTCATCCACCCGCTGCATTTGCAGCAGCAACAACAATGGATTGCTGTGATTGCTGGCTCATTGTTTAACAGCCTGTTATCGCTCTGTTATTAGGATGTTAATCGAGCTGCTACTCTCTTTGGTGACTTTTTGTGTCTTGTGTGTTTGTTGTTCTTTTGCCTTGATGGTGTTGTAAACATGTGTTTACATGGCTCACCACCAACCGGATGTTGCTAATGACCGCAAAGCTAAAAAGCAAATCGGCCGAGGAACAAACACCACAATTCACGCCGATATGGATAACACTCTTGAGAAACTCTTGATAGGAATTCGCTAAATATTTTTTAAACTTTCTTTTTGAATGTCTGGCAAAGCACCAAACTGATGTCAATTCGAAGAACGAAAAAGGTTTTTGGAAATATTAACATGTCTCCCTATATAAATCTTAAATATAATTGTTTAATATAAGATCTAATTCAACTTTCATTAAATAAATTACAATTCAGACTGCAGTTCAACAACAAAAGTTTCACAATATCTAAACAAAATAAAAAAATTGAGTTCTATAGAAGAAGTTGCATTACTATTTAATTTACTCAAATATTACGAAAGTTCAATCTAGTTTTACCTCATATTTTGGATTAAAAAATCGCAGAAACTATAACCTTGTGATAATATAATAATGTTGACATTGCTGAATGTTTTAGTCATAATGTTTTGATTAATTCTGTTGATTCTGCATGGAGTCCAAAAAATGACGTTGATATTTGAATCATTAAAAAACCCTTCTAAAAGATTATGCTTATCGAATATTTTTGAATTTACAACCTAACTATTTGTCAGTGTAGAATATAATATATACATATATATATATATGTACTTAACGTAGAACAATGCCGTTCAACTGTTTGATTAAGTCTTTCCTTCTGATTGTGTAAAACGAAATATAAACTTAAGCTAATCACTTGACAGTTGTTAGTTTCGCAGAGCTTATCATTTATTTTAGGCTTTTATCAGCTAGTTTTATTTAGTTGTGAATCACAAAGCAAACATTCGTTTACTAATTTACCACTTCCTGTGCTGTTAATACTTCCAGCAACGTACCGAGCTCAGCCCGCCGACCCACCAAACATCCGCCACCGCAGAAGTAAATGCACCGCTGGCCAGCTCAACGAGTGCAGCCATAGCGGTAACAGCTAGTGCTTCAGCGGCCTCAGCCCCACCACCAACGGGCAGCACTACCTCAGGCGGCAGCAGCAGCGGCAATGCGGGCTCAACGTCTAGCGGCAACAGTTCCGGAGTACCAACGACCGGAGGAACTGCATCTGTCGTGGGATCTGGCGGATATCCAAAGACAGAGTCAAGCAAGTCGAGTGGCACAACCAGCGGAAGTAGCAGCAGCAATACCAGCAGCAACAAACACGGCAGCAGCAACATCAAGGACATCAGCAGCAGCAGCAATCAACAGCCGTCAACAGGAAGCAGCAGCAATGCACCCAGCTTGTATGTCTCCGTGCCGCTGTCCACGGCCAATGTACCTGGAATCAATCTGCCCACCAGCAGTAATAGCAGTAATACCACCAGCGGTAAGTTCTAGGACTTAGGCTTTGGTTAATAAAAAATAACTTAAAAAATTAGGAATAAAGATAAAATATTCACAGTTTTATAGATTTCCATAGTAAAATTTTTAAACTATATCAAAAATATTTTAAGAAACATGCAATATTTTCAGTTAATGCTTATTGATTTTAGTTAGTTTATAAAAATCAGGGAATTAAAATAGCAATGATGAACAATACTGATAGCTGTATTTATTTTCTCTTACAGAATCACATTCAGCTGGATCCCGCGGCAGTGGCTCACAATCGCAGCACCAGCAGCAGAGCAATTTACCTCAAATGGGTGGATCAGCTGGAGCATTTCATGGTGGAGCGAGCAGCGGTGGCACCAGCAGTGGCTCCTCGTCGGTCATTCAGCATCAGAGCGGCAAGTCCTCTCCGGCCTTGGGCAACCTAGTCAGCGGCAACAGTGGTGGCAGCATAATATCGGCTAGTGGGATACCACTGTCCAGTGGTAACCTCACTGCCACGACCACGGAGAGCGGCAACTTGAAGATTAGCTACGAGAAGCAGACCACAAGAGTGCAGCAGTTGCAGGAACAAGAGGCGCCACCGGCAAGACGCAGCAGGTATGCGGATGCCGCTTGTCTAAGAAGTCAGCCCGTCAGCTGACTTTATCCTTTTATATTCGCTGCCTGTGTTTGCTCGAGCTTTTAGTTTCTGATACTTAAACGTAGATATTTATTTTCACTTCCCTTTTTTTTTTTTTTTTTTTGTTGTTGTCGTTTGCTCTGCGTGTGTAGATTGTGGAATGTCCTTGGTTCAACATATGATGAGATTTGGTTCCATTTTATTACTAGGGAGTCGTAAATGATCCTGAACAATACATTTATTGAATGAATGAATGTATTGAAATTTCAGAAGTTGAGTTTCACAACTCTGAAATGAAAAACTTTCAATGGTGTTCCTTCTAACTTTGTTATTTTCAATTTTTTTAAAGCTTTCGGGTTTTTCAATTTTTTTTTGGCACCCTTTGTTTTTTTTATTTCATTTCCATTGAGCGTAACTTGTTGTTTATCCTTTTAAAGGTGAAAAACTTGAAGCCAAAAATGCGCGGTCTATAAAAAGAATATTTTTCTCTTTGTCTCTCTCTTTATCTCGTTTGCTTAATGTCTTCCCACACTTTACACTATATGATCACCATACATCCCATCTTCTCACCAATCACACGTAGATCGCGCTCCGGTGAGAGTGGCGGTAGTCACCATGCCCACCACCACCACCATCACCCCACCCACCACAATAGCCACCATCAACAAAACACACAGCAGCAGCAACAGTTACACCAACAGCAGCAGCAACAGAACGCGTCATCGCAACAGCCACATGTGCTGCATTCCTCCACCAACTCGTCCTCATCCTCCTCCACATCTACCTCCTCGTCCTCTTTGTCTGGTGGTAATGCCTCAGCTACATCCTCCTCCAATTCCAAGGGTCCCTCGAGATCGGGCAAAAAACGTGGGGCTGCCCAGACCAAGAATGAGGTGGCCACAACGGCAACACCAGCAGCGGTGGCCACAACACCAGCCGAAAAGCAGAGTCGCCACAGCTCGCCCCACTACAATGCCACGCCCACCCCTCCACCGTCGTCTGCTGCACCACCACCAGTGGTATCGTCGCCGGTGGTGATGTTGCAATCCCTGTCCTCGTCCTCGGTCGATTCCCCGCCAGCAACAGCGGTTCCAGTGACTGCCAGTAGTCGCAACACGCGCAACAATAACAGCAGCAGCAACGCCAATCACAATGGCGAGCAGACATCGTCGTCCTGCTCGTCCACTTCGTCCTCCTCCTCGAGTGGAGGCTCTAGTGGTTTGGCAAATGTGGTTAATCTGATAGACTCGCCGGTAAATATGTCAGCTTCGGGAAACTATCGCGGCAGCAGCAATTCCACTAGCAATGTGTTGTCGGCGGGCAACAACAGCAGTCAGGCCAAGCCCTTGAACAAGAAAATGTTGCGTGCGCAGCAGACCCAGCTGTATCAACAGCAGCAGCAACAACAACAACAGCAGCAGCAATATGCACCCCCCGCTAGATCCAACTCCCCTACAAATCTTAGCTCTACCTCAGCTTCCAACTCAGCTAGCTTTTCGCACTTGCAACAACAGCAACAGCCACAGGCACAGCAGCAACACGAAGATCTAGAGATTTTGCAATTCACTAATACAAATACCACTCCCTCTTCCAATACGCCCACATCGAAACCCAACAACAGAACGCCCGATCTCAGCACGGCCAGCAATTCATCCTCATCAGCATCCACAGTGCCCGCGACAACAGCTCCTTTGGCCCTGCTGAGTAATCAATTGCCACTTAACTCGCTGGCAAGTGGTGGATCGAGCGGTGGCCTAAAGTTCACCTATGAGAGTCAAACGCAGCTGGACGTGCCCATGTTGCCAGTTAGCGCGATTAAGGATTCGCCCCCTAGCTCGCCTGGCTCAGAGATTGGCTCGTCAATGCACCCGGCAACGACGGCAGGTTCCCTGACTGCAGCAGCTCAAGCATCGGCGGCTGCTCAGCCTGGAAATGTTCGGAAGCGTGGTCGCAAAGCTAAGGACTCGACGATAGCAGCAACAGCGGCGGCAGCTGCAGCAGCCGCGGCTGCTATAAGCAATGCTCAACAGGATCTCAAGGATGTGCGCATACTGCAGAATGGAGCAGCTAGTGGTTCGAGTAATCCAGCCAGCAACACACCTACACCTCCTGCAACGCCAGCGGGGTCCTCGACTGCTAGTTCAGCCAGTTCGATTATTACGCACACCGCCGCCCATATGCTGGGCAACCAGATCAATCCCAATAGCAGCGTGGCCCAGAAGCTGTCCGAGCAGTTGCACATGGAGGTTCAGGATCACTCTATCTACACGCCCGATTCGATGAACTCGCAGTACGCCGGAGTTCCGTTCCCCGGCAAGCAGGTAAGAAACTCATTTTTTACATTTAATAACAAAAATGTTTTGAATATGACAAATTAAGTTTAAAACAATTTTTATACCGTTACTCATAGAGAAAAAAGGGTATATTAGATTCGTTGAAAAGTATGTAACAGGCCGTTTCCGGCCCTATATAGTAAATATATTCTTGATCCGGATCAATAGCCAAGTCGATTGAGCCATTGATTGAGACGTCTGTCCATCCATCTACCGTATGAACGCTGAGATCTCAGAAACTATAAGAGATACAAAGTTACACAACATGCTTTTTCTGACAAAAGGTGGCTCTTTGTGAATTTTCACTAGCAAAATTAATATTTTAAAATTGTATAAGACAGTAACGGGTATCTTATAGTCGCAGAACTCGACTAAAGAGTTTCTTCTAGTTTTATTATACGCATAGTCTAAATTATATTGGTAATACTTTTATTTCCTTACAGCGTAATTCAAGTGCTGCTTCCGCCAACGCCACACCAGCTCCAAATCCGCTGCAGTCAATGTTCAGTGGAGGTATGAACGGAAACATGCCCATCCCGCAGAGCCTAGAACAACTACTGGAGCGCCAATGGGAACAAGGTTCACAGTTTCTCATGGAACAGGCGCAGCACTTTGACAGTGAGTATGAGTCGCATATCGGGAGCCAAGTGTGAGAGTTTATAGACTAACACTAAACATTTATTTTCCAGTTGCCTCACTGCTTAATTGTCTGCATCAGCTGCAGAGCGAAAACCTCCGGCTGGAGGAGCATGTAACCAGCCTGATAGCACGACGGGATCACTTACTGGCGGTCAATGCGCGCCTGCAGATCCCGCTGAACACCATCGCAAGTAATGCCAAGGCCGAGGCGCATGGTAAGTAGAGAAGGCGCCTATTCTCTATTGTTCTTGGTGTCGGCACTTGCTCGCTCCCACCACGTGGCACTGGAGGAGCATCACATCCCACTTACACAGCCACTGCTCACAGACCAAATTTTGCGTTTAATTTTTTGTACTTACTTTTTTTTTTTGGTATTCGTTGTACATACAAATGGAATTTGAGTCGAGTTCCATGTCGTAGTCTTAAGTAACTTATGTTAAGTTAACAACTAAACTGGTTACGAATGGTCATCTTTATAAACGAAGTTTGTACATAATATACACACCCACATTCGGTCAATGGAATTACTGTTTGACAAACAGAAGCAGTGATGGTAAACATTTATTATTGCATTTAACGACCACATGACGACGCGTCACCTCTTCTTTAAAATACTGAATGCTTCTCTATCTTTATCATCAGTCCATCCCCCGATTAGCTAACTTTACTTTAGTTCATATTTTTAAGTTAGTCATATGTATTTACGGAAAAATACAGAACCTAATTATACTTACTCTTGTAATGAGAAATGATTTCCTTGGTCAAGTTAATAGTTAAGTTCTTTCGATATCTAAAAGCAAATATTTTTTCGATTTTATTTATTTTAAAAATGAATAAAATGTTTAATATATTAAACACAAAAACGAATACAAATTCTAAATTTATTTATTTAAGTTTTCATAATTTGCACCTACTCTGGCAGCACAGTTAAGCCAAATTTGGGTTGAAGGTTAACTACAGGTTAAGAGCTGTTCTTTTACTTACACTTAAGTTCGTTGTGTTGCTGTCTGTTGCATGCAGTGATAAAAGCCCACACACCTGCTCACATATTCGAACACACCCCAGCCCACTCACAAATTACAAACTAATACCGCACAAACACACACACACAAATTTCGTGGAGATGGAACAGCAACTACGGGGTACTCACAATCTAACCAAAATGCTTACAGCCGCCATGTCAACAACGGCAGCTCCAACAACCACTACAACAACCTCAACAACAACAGCAACATCAACTTGTACAACTTCTGTCATTTCCACACTAGCTTCCAGCAGCAACAGCGGCAGCAGCAGCATCGGACTGGGCAGCAACATGAGTGCTCTTAATGCGGCCACAACAATCGCAGCAGCCGTGTCTCTGGCCACTACTGCCATCAATACCACCATCCCCACCATGGCCAATAGCCGACCCACTGTGGCAGCAGCGAGTTCTAGTGGTGTTCTTGACTATCGCGGACCGGGGGCCAACAGCAACAGCAGTAACAGCAATAGCAACAGTGGCAACAATGCAACCAGCAATAGTGTGAACAGCAGCAACAGTAATCCTGCAACCACTTCCAATGCCAGCGGGCCCCCTGCAACATCGATGTCGATCTCAGCCATGAATATGACAAATGCCGCCAATTTGGGAATGAGGTGGGTTAGTCCTTCTGGGGCATATAAATAATTCAAATCATAACTTGTAAACCTATAAGATTTTTATAATCCGAAAATGTTATTACAGACACGTTTCTTCATCCCATTCGTACAACAATGCTGGAAACAGCAACAGCAGCGTTGGGAGCTTAAATGCCAATAATTCCATCAATACCAACAGCTTGCATCACCAGCATCCATCCCCGCTGCAGCAGCAACAAGCGCAACACCAGCATCCTTCCCAGCAGCAGCAGCAGCACCAGCAGCACGCACAACAAGTGCAACAGCATCTGCATCAGTCGCACCACACCAGCGCTGCTGTGGCAGCCGCCCACATGCTTGGCGTGGGAATGAGCCTGGGCGCTGGAGGTGGTGCTGCTGGTGGCATTGGACGAGGTGGGTCAGCGACAGCCATGGCTGCAACAGCAGCAACAACCACAACTACTTTTACGACCACAGCGGGCACGGGCATGGGTCAGCAGCACCACCACCCACACCCACACCAACATCCTAGCATTCAGATTCAAGTGGGTGGCGGCGGCGTTGGCGTTGACGGTTTAAGTAGCACCTCCTCCTCCTATGCGGTGCACCACGCGGCTCTCTACAGCACGCATCACCAGGTAGTAGAGTGCGTGCGAACGAGTTCCTGTGTGTGTGTCTGTGTGATTGTGGGTGCATGTCCTTGCCACATGAATATCCATAATCCATCCAGCCAGTGCCTGTAATTCGTGCATTCTCACATTTTCATTTTGCGTCAGCTCTATCAGTTTCATCAACGCACTATTCATCACCAGTCATTCTATCAGCCTCAATCAATCAGTTAATCAATCAAGCCAAAGAAATTTCAAAACACCACTCACGCCATCAATTTCGAATTTCGAATTCATCTGCTTTTGCCCCAATCTGGTTTTTCCATTGTTAATAACCCATTGCTCTTGGCAGCTAAACCCGAAATTGTTTATTGTCTTTGTGTGCCAGGCTGAAAGATAAGATCAACCCTTATTGTTGACAGAATAATCCTCTGTCACCACTATAAAATTGTTAGTCCTGTCACAGCCTTAATCATCCTAGAATTTCTACTTTCAGTCCCAACTAAGGCGCGACGATAACCTCGCCAAAACTAGCTGAAAGTCGTACCGCGATCAAGTGATTCTGCAACCGCAGCAACAGCTGAAAAAAAAGCCTTCCCAGAACAAACGAGATGGCCGTCATAACAGTAGCAGCAGCAGTGGCAGCAATCACGGCAGCCACAAGCTTACACAGCAAAGCAAAACCAGTAAACTAAAGATGGCTCAGCTTGACTTTCAGCAACTGATCGACAAAAATGACGATGATGTAGGTCCTAAAAATATGTTATTTACTCTTTGCCCAACTATTTAAGAACAATTTGTCATTATAGCTCAGCAGCAACAGCAGCTCTTCGACCTTTTCATCGTCCTCCCAGCAGCAGTCTTCGGTAGACTACGAGGCAGAGGATGAGAACGAGGAAAAACAACGTAGGCCATTGCACAAGAACGAGAACGACAGTTTGCTGCATGTACAAAATTTTCTTAAATGCTTTGGCCCCAATGCTTACGCATCGGCAAAGGCACCTACCATAGCAACTGCCACAAAATCGTTGGCCATCGTAAAGTCTCCGGCATTGGCTGGAGAAGAACTGCGTGCCTGGCGCCAACATTTTTGCACCGCAATCAATACAGTTCAATCAGATACCACAATAGCAATAACACAGGCAACGCTATCGACAACAACCTTAGCGGAAAACACTGCCACAAATACTCCGATGTTTCAAGCCCAGTCAAGTGCAAACCACAAACCAACCAAGTTTCAAATAAACACAAAGTTTTTGCGCAAACCACGCAACAAGCTATTAAAAATGCTGCCAACAGCAACGGCAACATCACCGGCAACAGTTCCCAAGCAACAGGAGCAACTGCAGCAGCCGCAGCTGTTCAACGATGATTCCAACGCCAAATTCAAAGACTTTTCAATCGACTCGTTATTGAATAAGTAAACATAAAAGAATTACAGATTAACAGTTACAGTTTAGCCTTATTATTTGTAGCATAATTAAACAATTACAAGCAGAACCCCAAGCCTCGTTCCTAATTTCTCCCAAAACAAGACCACCACAAATTTTGTTTAGCCAATCGAGTACCCATAACATGAACATAGCAACAACATATTCTAACTATATATAGGTTGTTTATTTATTACATGCATATTGTATAACTAATGGCGCAATTCATAACTAGAATAAGTATGTAAATATCTATTTAAATACGAGATAATAAACCACAAACACATGTGCTAGAATTTAAGATATACTGTGTGACTATTGTAAATGGATTAGGGACTCGGGATTATAGATGGACCAGTCATTTCTTTTCTGGTGGCAAAGAAGATTCTAGGGCAGCGCGCACGCGCATCAACATCTCCTTTCGAATGACTTCGGGAACCAAAGCTCGAGCCTATTGGGGCCAAAATGGGTTATTACTACCAGGAGGAGTTACTATTAACATACATGAGGTACTATCTCGGCAGCCAGTTGGTCATGTGTTAAGTTGGCCACACCGCGCTCCTCAATGGTCTGGCGTATCATTTTCTCGATATCACTGCGCCAACCGCACTCAGAAAGCCTCTTTTGCAACAGGTCCTTCAACCTGTCGAACAGTTATAACCAGTACGTCTGCACGATTTAATACTGTTCCAGCCTCAAATAAAGTACTTACGCGACGCTGTCGTTCCTATTTAGCTTGACATCAACAGGATCAGCATCCGTGCCCATTTCCTTACTGTCTGGCATGGTTTGAAGTTGAGCTAATGTTATTCCCTTGTTTCATATATTGTGTGAACAATTTTAAGCGCAAAAAACTGTTTAGAAACTGAACGCAGTGTGAACTTGTTAACGGATCTTTAACTCATTGGAACTAGTTGGGAAATGAACGAGCTGATTGCCCACGATTTTAACTTAAAAGTTTTAAGTTTTAAAAGCCATTCTCCAAACAATATATATGAAATTGTTTGCTAAAAATAATCTATATAAAATATTTTTATTTTTATTTTTATTTATATAAAACTAAACTAAAAAAAACTTTATAAATTACATAATCAATCATTGAGGTGAAATATACATACTTCTTTGGTTTCAGCATTTAAATAATTAAAGTTTAAATAATAATTTGAGGAAGGCATCCCATTTTCAGGATATTATTGTGAGTTTCATTCAGTGACCTTTGACTAAGTGACAGATATTCTAAATATTTCGTAATAACAGTGACTGGAAATAGCTCGTGCCGATTGCATCGAAATTTTGTTCCATCTCTAGATATTTATGTTTATTTTTTGTTTTGGTTTGAAAATAATTCAGCAATGGATTTGCTGAGGGAATTCGACATAAAACACGAACTTAGTTTCGATGATAATGATCAAGAACAGGTGGGTTACATACTGGCGCGCTGCCCGTGGGTAGTGAGTGATCCAATCTGGAGTAATTCGTGAGAATTTGCAACACAATCTGTCTGCCTATTGATTTTCATGACGCATCCTTGCAGTACACTCCAAATTCCCGGTCACGATGCGCGACTCCGGACTTGACCACTGCGGCTACCTATGCCCACATCGCCGATCTCAAGCGAAGGCTGTCCAACGGACAATACACTCTACGGGACAAACGCGGCCGCAGCAAGGTATGGCAACTATTCGCTGTGATTGTGGACGAAAATGGGGATGATATCGAGAATTATGTGGCCTGCCGCAACTGCTTCAATGTCCATAAGTTCCAGATGAGCACGTCTAACCTAATGAAGCATAAGTGTGCCCTAAAATTAGAAGCTCAAACCCGCACGCCTGAGGCGAAGACAGCCTTGGACGTTCCCCTGGATGAAGAAATAAAGAAAAAAGTCCTTAACGCTGTCACTGCATGGTCCGTTTACAATTGCCGACTACCAAACATAGTTGAAGACTCGGAATTCGTGAATCTAGTAGGCATCTTACTGAATATCGGTGCAACTCACGGAGAGAATGTTAAGATTAAGGAACTTTTACCACAGCCAGCAGCTGTGGCTAGTAACATATCCGATATATATGAAAGACATCAGAGAAGTTTGATCGAGGATCTAATTATCATACGTTCCACCGGTTACAGCATTACCATGTTCGTATATACCAATAAATTCCTAGAGTGCCATGCTGTGCTCACCGTGCACTACGTTAAACATTTAGCTGTGATCAATCGTTTGCTCAGCGTATCCGAAATAAGCAGAGATAAACCAGCTGGAGGTAAATTTATTTTTATTTTAAGAATTCTGACTTGCGTGAATTTGCATAGAATTTTGTTTTTTTTTGCGTAGAATTTTTCTTACTGTCCTTGGAATAGCCATGCACTTTCTGAATGCACTTTCTTCATCATAATAGTTTTACTTAGCCCTAATTTTTATTCACAGATAAAACTGTATGTGACTTGATAACGTCAACTCTTCAAAAGTTCAACTTAGATGGAGATGACCCAGTAATTGTAACGGAAAACGATGAGAATGAAAAAGTCAATTCTGCCCTTGAAAATCAACAACAGGTCATGTGCATCAATACACAGCTTAACCGAGCCATTGACAAGGTTTTTAATGAGACCCCACAGCTGCAGTTCTTATACCAAAAGTGCATCGAGTATTGTAAAGCCTGCACCATATCTGCATCTCCATGTTACGCACCCTTAGACAGAATAATAGGCGTCTTTAAGGTTGTACATCAAAATTGGGGAGCAGTTTCGATGTCCATTTTCACGCATGATTGCGAAAGAATTACATTGGCTAATGTGATGGCCGTAATTCGTGTTTTATCCCATTTTGAAAATTCCTCTAAGGAGCTGGAAGCCCTTAATGAACCAACGCTACACATGGTAATCCCACATTTACGCAAGCTACGTAAATTGTGTTCCAACGTTACAGGAGAAGAAGTCGCGGTGGAGTTGTGCCTAAAGGTCGCTTTAAAACCACATTTAGAGGCTATTGCCGAAAGATCTATCACCAAGTACCACAAAATAGCACTGCTGCTCTTCCCGCCAACCAATAGGCTGCTTCTCTTCGAGGACTCGGAAAAGCAAGATATAATAAAGGATTGTAAAGCAATAATGGAGTCGTTTTACGTCGAATCAGAAAGTCAGAAGAAGAGAATCCGTCCGGATTGTGAGTACGATGGAATATTTAGCGATTTTATCACCCCACGGTCAGATGACACCAAAACTGATATGATAACCCACGAAATCAACAGCTATATGAGTATGCAGGTGGTGCTAAAGCCCGATTTCAATCTTCTCCATTGGTGGAAGGACAACGAATGCTTGTTCCCATTGCTGTACAAAGTCAGCTCCAAAATATTCGCCACTCCAGCAAGTATTGCGTTCGCACGAAATACATTGATCCGGGCCAGAGGCCTGCTCATCGAGTCATCCCTCTCTAATGGAGGTGGCAATCAAGTTGTGGACGAAATACTGTTTTTAAACAATAATCTTAAAAATGTTTAATGCGTTTTATATTTAATGTTTTTATGTCTAAAGTGTTTTCTTTTTAGTTATACTATTGCATTGAGTTTTTATACATTATGGTTTTCGCATTAACTTTAAGGTATATTGTACAATATTTTATCTGTATAATTATATGCAAATATATACTGGTAACTTCCAGGTAGTTATCCGAGCTTGGATAGTGTAATTATTTTGGAATGTGAAACCAAAATGGCAGCAGGTCCCGGTATTTTCTATACTTCGTATTTAAAAGTTTACAATCAGTATTTCAACCTACAACTTAGAAACAGGGTTTTAATTATTTTCATACAAAACATAGACATAGACAACATAGATTTAATTGAGACATGAAAAATATACAACAGCAATAAATGAAATTCCAATTATTTTCGGCTCCTACCTTGGACCACTGTTGGTACAAAGGAAAAATAGCTAACTTGACAACTCTATTAAAAAAACGATTGGCATAGCACAACTAACCCAAGCCAGATGTAAATATACCTACATATGTATGTAATCTACATATTGACGTATTCATCTGCATTGTGCATAGTTATCTTTGAGCATAAACATTTAGGCTTGTGATAATTTTAAATATGTATGTATGTACCTTAAGCTTCTTTACTAAATATATACATTTGTACATAGTAATGTATATAAAGATTTGATTGTCTAACTGTTTTTAACAGGGTAAACCTAAGTAAATATCTAAGTTAATGTAGTTTTAAATCAAGTTTTTTTGCATATTTATTTATTATACCTCTACATTACATTAAACACAAATAAAAATAAACTAAACCTAAATTAAATAAAAAGGTTTACGTTAAATCGATTAATTAAACTGTTTTAATTATTAAAATAACATTCTTTGGTATTGCTTATGCGAAATGAGTACGTGTACATACATATGTATGTATGTGTATATGCAATCTTATTGGTGCACATGTACATTGAATGTATGTATGTAATACATATACATATATGCAATTTCAGTTTTTCAGTTACAGTTTTTGTTATGTGGGATTGCCGTCTTTACGACCACCCACTCTATCTTCCCACAACTGTCTGAAAAAAGTCTCTATAAGCCGGTTCCAAAGTGTCGTCATTATAAAATGCGTTGGCTTGGCACCTTTCATGTACAAATATGGTCATATCGCCATACAAATCTGTTTGCAGCTGGCTTTGATTTCATGAAGCCAACTGTTTTTATTTTTGTTCTAGAAAGCTGTATTTTAAATCTGAACTTTTTCAAATTTGGGTTAGGCCTTGGGTGCTAGGTAAACTTTTAATTTAACGACAATCGACGGAAAAAGACACCTGGTTCATTGGCTATTTCTAGTAAATGACCATAGACATAACCTCAATAAAGAGCGCCGGTCTCTGCCGGCAAATGCATTTCTACACATACATACATACATATACAATTTGTACATATATATATATATATGTACATATGTATGTGTTCGTGTATTATTTCTGTACATTTCCTTCCCTTGTCATTGCAGTAATCGCATGTACATTTGTATGTATGTATGTATATTTTTAGGCCACATGGCCCTCCTTTACTGCATTTCCTGCTGTTAGTTTGGGTTTTTCTGGAAACTCGATAGCAGCTGCCTCCTCGGTCTGTTTCTTGAAAATACCGCATTGGGCGTAGACCGAGATGGCGGCTTATACAACACAACAGTGAGCCGGTTTACCTAGGCTTGAATTTCATTTTAGGCAAATCAACCCCTTAAAAGGCCGGAAAAATACAGACATATGTACATATGTACATACATTTGTATGTATATATATATATGTATACATATATATATATATATATATATATATATATATGTATGTATGTAAAAACATACAAAAACCGCCTGTGGATAAGTATCTATAATACTGATCCACACTCTAATCCATTTGTATATGTACAATACATATGTATGTTAATGTAAATCCACTAAACAATCATTTATAATTTTAAAAAAATGATCAATTTTACGTATTTTCTTTGAAAATTACTTGAAGATTTCATAAGGCGGGTGGTTATTTCCTCTTGGCAAAACAATTTTAAAATTTGACAAGCTTAAGGATATATTGCCTACAAGACCAAATATGTACATCTTATATACATACACTTGTGACATTTACTTAGCATGCTACTATTTTGACTCTAGCTGTAATCAAGTATTTGTATACCCACACACATTCGCAATGGCATGTTTGTCGGCAGTTAAGAAATGAAGTCATCACTGAGCTGGCAACGATTATGCTATGGCCTCAAAAGGAATGACTCATCGTCCCAGAGAATCAATACCAGAAAAGTAGAAAGCCAAGTGCATGCCACACACAGCCTGGTACAGCCTGCACTTGCCACAAAAAGCAGAGGAAAAAGCGCACCAGTGGCCCGGATCGGGGGAAAATAGAAAGCGCTAATTATAGACAAGTGAGCGGCTGCTCTGCTTTCCCGCAGTAAAAACTCCGTCCAATGACCCCGCAGTTTTTCACTGGAATGAATGAAGGAAAACCAAAGAATTTCTTTTTGCTGTCAACACTGTGTCGGGCCGATTTTATTCTTGTACACAACTTATCGCCGAGTTAGCTTGGCTTTTCTGCTATACGTGTCTTTTTGGATAAAATACTATCTGGTTTTTCTTACATCTTTTCATTTTCGTACGCTTTACAGTGTTGCAGTGAATCTTTTGATGCGTTTGGAAGCGTAGACACTGATTTCGGCGATTGCCCCGCCCACCAATGACGCTTCCAACGAGCTTTGGAGTGGAGCTACACTTAGTACTCCTCAGCACCCTCGCCCTCTCCATCACCGGAGTCCATGCCGACCTCCTCGTAATCCTTCTCCAGGGCAGCAAGATCCTCACGGGCCTCGGAGAACTCTCCTTCCTCCATACCCTCACCGACGTACCAGTGGACGAAGGCACGCTTGGCGTACATCAGATCGAACTTGTGATCCAGACGAGCCCAGGCCTCAGCGATGGCGGTGGTGTTGGACAACATGCACACGGCACGCTGCACCTTAGCCAGATCTCCTCCAGGCACCACGGTGGGAGGCTGGTAGTTGATGCCAACCTTGAAACCAGTGGGGCACCAGTCGACGAACTGGATGGTGCGCTTGGTCTTGATGGTAGCAATGGCTGCGTTAACGTCCTTGGGAACAACATCACCACGGTACAACATGCAGCAGGCCATGTACTTGCCGTGACGGGGATCGCACTTGACCATCTGGTTGGCTGGCTCGAAACAAGCGTTGGTGATCTCAGCCACCGACAGCTGCTCGTGGTAGGCCTTCTCGGCAGAGATGACTGGGGCGTAGGTCACCAGAGGGAAGTGGATACGTGGGTAGGGCACCAAGTTAGTCTGGAATTCAGTCAGATCCACGTTCAGGGCACCATCGAATCGCAGAGAGGCGGTGATCGAGGACACGATCTGACCAATCAAACGGTTCAGGTTGGTGTAAGTGGGGCGCTCAATGTCCAAATTGCGGCGGCAGATGTCGTAGATGGCCTCGTTATCGACCATGAACGCGCAGTCTGAGTGCTCAAGGGTGGTGTGCGTGGTCAGGATAGAGTTGTAGGGCTCAACCACGGCAGTGGAGACCTGGGGGGCTGGGTAGATGGCGAACTCCAGCTTGGACTTCTTGCCGTAGTCCACAGAGAGACGCTCCATCAGCAGCGAGGTGAATCCAGAGCCAGTTCCTCCACCGAACGAGTGGAAGATAAGGAAGCCCTGGAGACCGGTGCACTGATCAGCCAATTTGCGGATCCTGTCCAGAACCAGGTCGACGATTTCCTTTCCGATGGTGTAGTGACCACGGGCGTAGTTGTTGGCCGCATCTTCCTTACCGGTGATCAGTTGCTCCGGGTGGAACAGCTGACGGTAGGTTCCGGTACGGACCTCATCGACCACAGTGGGCTCCAGATCGACGAACACGGCACGGGGCACGTGCTTGCCAGCTCCAGTCTCGCTGAAGAAGGTGTTGAACGAGTCATCACCTCCGCCGACGGTCTTGTCGGAGGGCATCTGGCCATCAGGCTGGATACCGTGCTCCAGGCAGTACAACTCCCAGCAGGCGTTACCAATCTGGACACCAGCCTGGCCAACATGGATAGAGATACATTCACGCTGTGGGCGAGAGGAAGAAAAAAAAAAAATAATTACACGTTCAAAAGAAAATCAATAATGGTAGAACCGCACCCAAATTGACCCGGCATTGTGCGCGAAAGAACGAGATAGCTGTACGGTATACATAAATTTTTTCCCGACGCCGGAATTTTGTCGCCATTTTCTCATTTAATAATCTCTAGTTATGCTTTCAAATATCAGAAATGTTCGATTTTTGTACTAGGAAATTTTGATGCATTTGAATTTAGATACATTTTACAGTACACACCTATTTTCTCTAGCTTTACACGGCGTTTTCTCTTCCGAAAGAGGAACATGACGTCATCACTTTTCGAAAAAAGCAAAGACCGGCCGCCATATTGCGAAAAAAAACCGCTTCGCTTTCCCCAATACATTTTTTTCTCGAATACATTCTACGTAATTTTCACAGAATTTGTTTGTTTTACTCACCATATTGAGTTTTTTAGTGGAGGTTTTTCACACGCGAAAAGGAAAATTCACAGAAAATGTGTAGAGCTACGATTAAGGTCTGACTCTGAGAGCGTATACGTTCGAATTGCCGGCTATGAGGCTTCACAAACGTAAAACGGATGTGAAAATTCGGACGCGGGCTGCTTTATATAGGTGTCGGAGCTAAAGGTGGCACTTGACCGATTTAAACGCCGCAAAACCGATAAATGGTATGATTGAGATATTAACAGTTGGTCACCCTGGAGTTTGAGACAGCTTAGTCCGTTCAGCGCGGACTCGAATCGTGGACTGGAACTTTGGTCGTCTAACCGGTTAACCGTTTGAAAAAATTTGGCGAATTTGAAAATTATTAAATTCTTTTATTTCCGTTTTTTTATATAATTTCCACCTAAATATTTGGTTGGGATATCTATATTTGTTTTTTTTTCCTAAATTGTAAAACCTTGATATAAAATTATGTCGCAGTTTCGAATTGTACAACTGCAATTAATTTCTTTGAATAATCTTATCTATCTTAAATATTGGATCGTTGTTGGACGTGAGGTAGTCGATGTGAAAATATTTTACTTAGTTAGAAAGTGACTAATAGATATTCTAATTGAGGTACGTGCATACATTGTAAGTGCCAGACAATTTGAATTTTGGTTTTCGCCGTAAGGTATACATGAGGAATCTAGCGGTGGTCACACTTATCGCTTGTTGCAATTTACGTGTTTTCACCTTAACGCTGTTTTTAACGCAAGCGAACCTATTGCCGTTATTAATTTGAAGAGGGAAAACCGGAACAATTTTCACAGGCACAATGCGAATCGAAGCAGAGGACTCTTTTTGGTTGGAGAAGGCGGTATATTGCAATGCAGAGAGGAACTACTATGAAACGCTCAATCGGCGGAAAACCAGTGTAAGTAAAATGGCCTTCGAGGATTTCTCAATAACCTGGAACTTTTTCCCGGAAATGCCTGAGCCCTGGAGTTTGATTTATTCCTATTGAACCGTGTTCATCTGGACAAGTGCACATACATACGTATGTACGTACACGTGTATTTAGATGTATACCGCGGTGTGACTTTGTTGCTTCTGCAGAAGCACATAGCACTCAAACGCGTAAACAGCCGGCAAGCTCCGACATAGGTGGCTACCCTACTAAAATCAGCTGTTTTAATATTTTGAATCAACATTCACTAGCAACCAAACAAAGGCGGTGAACAGTCAACTTGCAGAAAGTTCACGTATTCATTTTAATTTTCAGCTTCCCGTCCCCGCCCCCCTAAAAGCGCCCGGCCCAGCCTCCATCATATCCGCACCCAATATATCCGCTCCCGCAAAGAAGGCCAAAAAGAAAAACAAGACGATGTCCGAGAGGGAGACGCCAAAACAACTGCTTTACGTGGGTATGGTAGATATATTTTATTACTGATTATTAAAGCTCGTTGATCTTGCAGATGAATCCTCTGACTATGGAGGCGAGTTTTTTCCTTGAGACCTTAAACTCTGTAAATCAGAAAAGTAATCCACCACAGTTGGATCCGCATTTGGCCAAACTACTGGAGCTCATTGTGGTGGGCATCGAAAACTACATGGACAGGAACCCCACCTACGTTCTTCCCCAGGAAAAGGCTGCCCCGGGTGAGGGCGTGGTGTTTGTTCAGCCCAAGGAATTACAGACCATCAAACGCACATTCAACTGCAGTGTCTGTAGTAACCGTATCGTGGGCACTACCATCGCAAAGGCCGTATCTCACCTTTCGGAACAGCATCCAAATCCAAACCCCAACAACCAGCCAGTGCAGTCAGTGCAGCCACCGCAGGCAACTAAGCAGAATAAGCAGGATAAAAAACAGGCACTGGTTAAGGCTCGTCAACAAATGACTGTGCAGCTGCCCAAGAGTGGGTCACAAAATCAGAAATATTAACAATCCTTGACAATAACCAAATCGAATTTTTCAGAGGCCAAGGCAATGATTGTGGGGGAAATAACAAATGTTTTTAAGGACAAATACCCCATAGCAGACAAGTTAAAGGTGATTCCAGAGTACGATGTAATCGAACAGGATCTTTGCAAGCTTCTAGCTCCGGGCTTTCCCAAGCAACCACTTCGCGTTTATAAGTTCGGCTCTCGCATTACCGGCATTGGGTCGCGTTCTTCTGATCTGGACGTCTTTGTTGACATTGGTGAGTCGAGCCTCTGTTCCTTTTTCTCCTCCGATTCGTTCCTTTTTTGACTTCACTTTCCCATTGATAGGCAATACTTTTCATACGTTCGAGCACCGAGCTTCAAATGCGACAATTACTAAGCTGCGGTCTATGCGAAAGTACTTCTTCGGCAGCGATGACTGGCGCATTATTAACGTAAAGACTGCCTTAAGAGAAATATTCATAATTACAACTCGTATTTTTCTGAGCAGGTTATTGAGCAGGCTCGCGTTCCCATCATCAAGACCTGCCATTTGCCCACAGGAATTGAATGCGACATTTGCTTGAACAGCTTGGGCTTCTGTAACACAAATCTGCTGAAATACATATTCGAGTCACAGCCAATTAGTAAGCAAAACTCTCAAAGCAAAGCCCACGTAATCCGATTAATTTCGCTTGTTGCAGCTCAATACATGTGCATATATGTAAAGAACTGGCTGGAGCGGTGCAAGCTGACAGAACAGATATCGACGTACAGCATCACCCTGATGGTTATCTACTTCTTGCAACTCCAGGGCCTGTTGCCATCCATAGCCATTCTGCAAGTGGAAGAGATCGCCAATCAGGGAGTTCTCGTGGGGCGTATGTTTATCTCTGCCTGTTTTGAGGGGATTCACATAATTATTTTTCTATTGCAGCGTGGGTTGTCAACTTCGCGCAGAAATCGCTTAACGAGCTAGGCCTGAAGCAAATAAATGTGACTGTGCCCGTAGTAAAGGGCTATCTTAGCACGTTCTTCGCATTCTATGCCAAATTTGACTACGAACATTTCCTAGTCTGCCCATATTTTGGTCATAGTAACGCTGAGATACAGAAACTTGAGAAGACCCTGCCTAATAGGTAATATTTATTCCTGCTCTTAGTTTTAGTACTATATTAAAAGCATTGGTATTTCTTAGGTATTCAGCATATGTATCAGAGAACGCTGACTGCTCGCTCCAGCTACGAAAACCAATGGTGGTCCAGGACCCCATTCAGCTCAATCATAATGTTACTAAAGCGGTGACCAAGTACGGATTGCAAACTTTTGTAGACTACTGCCAGCAGACAGCCGAACTACTGAAGGAGCCGACGACTAATTGGCGCGAGCGCAGTGCATAACTACGTTAAGCCCCTGATCATTGTTTCCCTCCCTCCAATCTCAAGGCACGTTCGTCGCTGGTCTGATTAGTTTTCACTTTGTGTGTGGTGGATGCCTATTAAGGTTTCTTTCAGCTGTAAATTATTGGCGTTCTACAAGTCTCGACAATATACAACACACAAAGTATACGTGACTTTTGTATATTTCACTAACAAGCGTTTAAATTGTATAATTGGTTTGGTTTCATTTGCTGTAACACATAAGATAGAGTTGTATGGCACGCATTTGATCGGACTACAACTTCCAGGTCTCGGGCAACCGGTTGAACGCCTTTAGCATCATATATATTGTGAAGCCCACGATTAGGAACACCCCGAGAAAGCTGATGCGGTTAAGCCAGTGTTGCTTAGAGTCGCACATCATGTTGTAAATTCCCATGGCAGAGCTTTCCGCCTCCTCCACGGTTCCGTTGTTGTCGATTACAAAGTGGGACTTCTCGCACTTCTGGTCAAGTGGCATTTGCGAATCGACGCGATGCCGTGCCTCTTTTTCTGAGAGCTCATTGCGTGCTATTAACCGCTCAAGTTGCTTGTCCGAGTCGCTGAAATATAGTGAAAAGTGGAATAAGAGCATTAGATTAGATGAGAACTAGTCTTGCATAGGTTGTGGTTGTACAGTATACTTTTCTTTGAATATTACAAATATTTGGAATAACGAATATGATCGTTGTATAACGATTTATCCACTAAATAAATAACCATTAAGTTCAGATTATTTCTTTACTCGTGCTTATAATTATTATATTCTGAAGTCAAAACTTTTAACTTTTCTAAGGACGTTCAGTTAGAAGCCTAATCTTTTCAGAGCTGGATCGAATTTTGCGCACATTGTATTCTTGAGCAGGAATCCCCAAAATACAAAGCCTACCATGATACACAGACGATCTTGTGTATGAAATCCATTAGGACACCGGTTTCAAAGAGCAGTGGCAAGTCCAGGACGATCCACGCGTGTCCTGTGACTAGGAGTTTGCACACCTGCCAGAAGATTTTGCGATGGATGGTCGGATGAGTGATCTTGTTTAGTTTTCCACGCAGCTCCTTGTCCTCGAAAATCATCTTCCCAAGAACAGCGCGGTTAATTTCCTTGCTTGGCAAGAGGACCTCATCTCCGAAGACCTCCCGAATCTGGTGCCAGCAGGGCTGACCTGGTTCCACAACTACGTGAATAAGTAAAGATAATTAGCGGAAATGGTCGTTAACTACGGAACACAAAGCGGATGTGCTCCACTTTGTAAACTCACTCTCCCTGGCGATTTTGTCTGCGTCTATCACTGGAATGCCCTGGCGTTGAAACACCTTGCTGATGGTACTTTTTCCCGTGGCAATGCCACCAGTTACTGCCACAATAAACATTATTCAATGGCAGTTAAAATACTGTTTTCTTAAGAGGAATGTTTGTATCGGTTTTTTTTCAACTACTGATGATATAGTGTGACCAAGTCACTTCATTTAGTAAAAGATTGCTAAAAATACTAAACGTCAATGCACAGTGGGCTGAATCAGTAATACATGTTTTCTTTTGTAAAAAATAAGCAAGCGACCGTTAAGATTTATTTTTGGAAAAAACATAAACATAAATAAAAAAATATTATTTTTAGTGGCATTTCAATGTTGCTGTAATTATAATAACATTTAATTTTAATAAAATAATAAAATGTTTACCCATATATAAGCCAAAAATACCGAAATTCACCCAAGACCGATGTACCATTTTAGTCGTTGCTATCTTGACGCACATCGTTGCCCAACACTTTTTTCCTAGATCCAAGATGGCGACTGTGTAATTTTTCGTGCGTCGTTTTGCAGGGTTTTGTGAAATTCCACGCGCTACTTTAATTTTTAACCCGAATTTCGGTAGCCGGCAGAGTGTCAACCTTTCTATACAATTCATAAGATCTCCGTAACATTCAATAAAAGCACGAAAACAGCAAGATGGTGGACAAAATTGAAATGAGCCTCGACGACATCATCAAGTCAACTCGTTCGCAAAAAAAGCCGCAAGCCGCTCGTGGTGGACCAGGTGGAGCCCGCAGGCCAGGCGGCCAGCAGCGTTTTGCTGCCGGAGCTCGACGTGGTGGCGCCAATGCGAGTGGACCTGCAAGGAAGCCAGGAAGCGCACTCAAAGGCCCTCGAGGAGGAGTGGCCGCTGGAGCCGTTCAGAAGGCAAAATTCCCACGGGTAATTCAATGCGTTTCAATGGCCAAATGGAGCAGCCGGAGCAGAATATCTCTGCGTTCAGTTGACCAGGACAATATTGCCAAACAACTGTCTTGCAACCCATGACCCACACACACCAGTTCAAAAGTACAAGTACAACTACATGGAAGCGAATCAAAATCAAAATGGCCACCGTGCGTCTTCCTACGGACGGAATAATTCTTCGAGTCCAAGCCAAATCTCAAGTTCAAGTTCCTTTAATCCCGTTTTTACAGAATACCAAACAGACGAAACCTGTGTCTTAACTTATTTCCTTTCACGTCTCATGATTCACGTTTTCTACGTGAACCTTACCCAGTTAACAAGAATTTCTAGTGTCTTCGCTCGATATGGCTGTCCTCTTGAGGCTAGGATACGATGCAACTGCCACGGCTACTCCCGCCAAATACATATAGTTGATACGCCTCGCGTTCGAACCAACAACAGACATACCCATCTTCTACCTAATACTACCCCCACCTCTAGGGCGATGTGAACAGCGCTTGGAAGCACGATATGTACGACGGACCAAAGAGGGGAGCCGCCGGTGGAGGATCAGGGCCTACCCGCCTAATCGTCGGTAATCTGGACTACGGCGTCTCCAACACGGACATCAAAGAGCTATTCAACGACTTCGGGCCGATGAAGAAGGCGGCTGTACACTACGATCGCTCTGGTCGCTCGTTGGGTAAGTCTGAGTACTTTGCGAGATAACTTTCCTTTCACTGGCATCATAAGAAAAGGTTTAGAAAGTAGAATATATTTATAATTGGTATAGATCTATGTTGTGTGCAATTTGCAAAAAGAAAGGGACAAAAACATTTTTAACTTTCATTAATCTTTTGGTAATAAAATATAGTCTACAATTTCAACATCAGTTTAATAATGAACGGTCGACCCTTGTTTCAATTTTTAAAAAGAAAGTTGAGCAGAAATTAAACTCATAACTAGGAACTATCTACGCAAAGGTCCGACCCACCATTTAATAATATTTTTCTTATTCCTTACAGGCACCGCTGACGTTATATTCGAGCGTCGTGCCGACGCCATGAAAGCCATTAAGCAGTACCATGGCGTGCCTTTAGACGGACGCCCCATGACCATCCAGCTGGCTGTCTCCGACGTAGCAGCTTTAACCCGACCCGTAACTGTTAGCGATGTCAAGCGACGCGTGGGTAGTGGCGCATCAGCTCCATTCAAGCGTGGTGGTGCGTATCCAAATATTTTATCGGGGACCGTGAATAATGCCCATAATCGTTCTTTTTTTTTTACCTCAAACATCATTCATTTAAAACCAATTCAGATCATTTTTGGATCTATGCATTTCCACAAAGATTTATAAATACCTATTTATATCGGTTATAATTAATGTTTAAGATCAGGGTTATATTTTAGGTTTATATTTTGATTTAATGGTATTTCCTATATTCACTTCATTTGCCTTTTGTAAATAATTTCAATCGAAATTTCTTCTGAGGGTCATCACCATATTGACACAAAACTTATGGTTACAACTTTTTAGTGCAAATATTGTTATATTTACTCAAAATTCTTTACTCATTGATCACTATGAGATATTTTTTGTAAAATATGTAAAAGCTTTAGTTTCAATTCTGAAAGACTTGTGTGAATGCTTGCCGAACAAAGAAGCTCAGCTTTCAAACAATTGTTTCTGCAATGGAACCAAGAATGATAATGATTACGGTCCCTGATGGCAAACCCTTGCTCCAATCCTTACACTTCCATTCCAAACTGTTTTTTAGGTGGCCAAGCTGGTGGCTCTCCGCGTCGTGGCAGCTTCAAACGTCCGGCCGGAGGCAAACCGGCGGCAGGTGGCCAGCGAAGGGAACGCAAAGCCCCACCAACTGCCGAGGAGCTGGATGCTGAATTGGACTCGTACATCAACGACATGAAGATCTAAATAGCCAATAGTCTGAATTAGTCTTACAAGAAATACAAAGGAAAACACAATCCCTAGTCTTAAGTCACCACTCTCTAAATGGATCACCAGGATCGACAAAGCCGCGCCAAGGAAAATTTGTTCACATCGAAAACTTCAGACATTTAGAATTATAACACATTTGCGCATGATTGTTAATTGCATATGTCAATGAGGCGGCTGTTGGGATAATCCAACTAACTGAAATACAATTGATGCTGTATTTAATATTAATAGTAATACGCTTTAAAAAGTTCGACGATGAATTAATGGACACTTGTAATTCTAAACTGAAGTGTAATAAATACTAGATTTAATTTTGTGACCAAACCGACTTGTCTTCACTGACTTACTAAATTATGAGTATTGTTTAGCTACTAGGCGGAGTCTGAAGAATCTCCACCAACTTGCACAAATAAAAGATAATTAATTTATAATTAAATGTTTTATTTTGGAATAATACATCGATGGTTATAAAGAGATTTTGTTTTGGACAATCATACTGACTATAAGAAGTTTCGATTGGACACTTTAAGTACAAATGCTAAATTAGGCTTCAGTTGTAGGTGGTAGTTTTTAGCAAAGTCAATCCGTACTATCCATGTTTTTGGGGCGGAATCACGAGTTACTTAATTTCAACAATTGTGTTAGAAATGTTAAACCTTTTACTTAGACGATAAAACAAAAGTAAGAAAGATGAAAATGAAACGACAAAAGGAAGAACAATAATGGAGTGCTGCTTTGCAAAATATAATCAGATTGTTTTTCTTCTTCGGCTGATCAGCAGATTATTATAGGTAATGCGCCTCTAAATATGTGTGTATACGTATGTTATAAGCGAGTTATATTTATAGGTTTATGTTTGTTATGTTGGTCTGAGGATGTGATGGTAAGTCATTAAATGCTTGGAGGCTGCTTCTGCTCCCGGGCCCACTCTATCTACCAGAAACCGCCTGACGAAAATCCGCCAGGTGGCACTCGGCCACGAGCCTCTCCGTTCGTGGCCGCTGGCTTGTTCGCTGACTCCTTGGGCTGGCTGGGCGGGGCAGACTTGGCCTCCTCCTTCTGGGTGGTGACCTCTTCTCGAATCTTCTCCACCACTTTATTGGGATCGGTGGAGCCCATACATGCGTTAAGGTTCGAGGAGTTCTGTTGGTTGTATTTGGCACGAGGGGCGGGTACGGCCACGTCGGGCTCCGAGAAGATATTGGTGTGTCCGCCTCCTGGGGGCTTCAGTACTCGGCTGGAGGGACGGGCACTGCTGGTCAGTCCAATTTTCAGCTCGGTGGATGTCATTTTGACGCTGCTGGTTGTGGTTTCAGTAACTGCAATGCATAACAATGAAAAGAGAATCAGATGCGGTCGGAAATACGAGTACTTTAGAATACAAATGCAGTCACGCCACTTGCGGATGTGACGACCGCCACAATGACGCCCATCATCCGACTTCGCCCCACTGGGCAAACTCTTTGTGGAGCCATATAGTGTAGTGAAGACGAGACCTATTTGTTCCACCCGTTTACCCTGCTGCCCCTTGTTAATGTCTTCTCTACCCATAGAAATTTATCGGTTCTTCTATCTATTTTTACTGGTTGCGTTCTCTTTAACTTTTTAACTTTGCTGTTAACTGTAATTGCGCGTTTTGTGGCTGTCGCACTTTCGTTGTTGTTTTGTTGTTCGTTGTTCATTTCGCAGTTTTGGTGTCAAGCACTCGCACACTGGGCTTTATCAGTATGTTTTTAGTCGAAATCATATGAAAAAGTCAGTGCACACAAATTGACTAATATAAAGTAACTGTGACGTTAAAGTAGTTTGATAACCCAGGTGCAATGATGACCAATTATATGACTGCAAATCAGTTATTTGCTGCTAATTTGATAAGCTCATTAAAGAAATTAGTCATTTAATAAAATAGTTTTGCAATTGAAATAACAATGAGTGTAGTATACAGGGAATTACAGGGTTACAGATAAATAGTTTTTCTCTTTACCATTTGATATATGACAAATTTATTTTATGTACATTTTATAGAGTAACGCAGCTTCCATTAATAGAATAAAATTCCCTAAATAATGTAAAACATGCAAGGGAAAAATGTCTAACTTTCTAATATTTTCCCCCAAAGCATTCATATTTATAACTTTCTCACTGTGTCTGTGTAAGTGTTTTCCATCTATTTATGCTTCGCTCATGACGAAAAAGAGGTCGCCGTTCAGGCGATGACATCTGCAGCAAGTGCTGTAAAGCATTTGTAATGATGCGTCATCCGCTGGGGGAGGCACTTCCCGCCCAAATTCCAACTCCCCACGCCCTAATCCCCTGGGGTGTATCGCATTTGGGGTGGCTGTTGGCAACAACAACAAACACAGGCCACACACACTAGCAATTTAGTTGGGGCATGGGAAAACAAAGCAAAGTGAATGACCGCAGCGAGTCAAAGATCTTTAGATTAGATGGCTCTGTAGCTATGCCGATTCCCATAGTTGAGCGCTTTCCACCTGGGCAAAAAAAAGTATAGCACACAACGCAAAATCGTTCGATTGAACGTGTAGCTTTGTTTTGAAATTTAAAATATATTAATTAGATCTAAACCTAAATATTTAAAAAAAAATTAAAATGTATTTAAAATTATATAAATTTGGTATAGACAGATTTTCTCTCTGTGCAGAAAAGCAATATTATCGACCGATTGCCGTGTTCCCTTTCCACTGTACTTGTTGTTTTTGCTTCCCTAGGGCGATTGCCGGCTTACACAAACACACGTACATAAGTACATACGTAAATCACATTAACGGTGACCATGTGTTTGTATTTGTGCTAAAATTATGAGTAATGAGCAATCTGGATATAACTTGAATTTGTGTGCCTCTTGTTGTCTTGTTGACTAAGTAAATATATGGCCAAAACACATTAGACGGAAATCCAGTTTCGGTAGAGACCTACTTAAAATGTATCTTCGATTAGACTAAAACGGCGATGCACACGGAAACTGGCAGAGCAATAAGCAAAAAAAAAAAAAAAACAGCTTTAAGAGCAGGCTACTAAATTTCGGTTCAAACTGCTTCCATCTAGTTTTTTGTTTTGTAGGTGCATGCAAAATTTACCGACTAAAGCGAAACATGGCCGCCAAAAAAAGAAGAGAAGGAAGAGGCAACAAAAGTTTTCGCAAGAGGGGCTACCCAAAAAAAAGGGCAAAATAGGGAATCGTGCACTTCCACAGAGGATGTGTTATTTATAATGCATATGGCAGCTGTGCTAAATAAAATTTAAAAGCAGCTGCACACACGCACACAGACAGACAGCGCTTGCGCTCGGTGTACCAAATTCCATGACACAAGTGAAAAGTGCTGGCCTATGAAACTTATTGATTTTATCTCTGGCTAATGGGTATAGAAGATCAGTATGCTTAACCTATTGATACCCTAGAGACACTTACCTTGAAAATACTCTGGAACACGGCTTTTCTCGAAGTCAAACTCTAAATTACGAAAATTCTCTGCGGTAAACGACGCGCACTTGCCAACGAACGTTGATTTCAAAAAATGTTGCAGAGTAACCGAGTTGAGTCTCTGAAATTATGTAGTTATTTTATTTAGCTTTAGACATTTTTTAAACTTTGGTCACACTTAAGTTTGCATCCTCCTAACAGCGTTCTGTTATACGCCAAGTACAAGATACATGCCTTACATTTTAGAACTGAATTAAAGATTTTAAAAGCATAAAGCATTTTTAATAAATTACACCATTATCAATCTACACAACCTTTTAAGAAATTTATCTGTCAAATCAATTTAGTTTGCACAAAAATATATGTATACGTATTTAAAAATACTTAGTATGGGCTTAAAAAAAATGAGGATAATTTTTTAAAAATCACAGTTAACTTATATCACAGTCATATTAACCTTTACCAATAGTATAGTTTCTAACCAACACCAGGGAATCCAACCGTACTTCTTTGAAACAGCTTGGTCACATTGGACTTTTGTTGACGTTTCATGTTTTTTTCAGATCGCACCTGGAACAGAGTCTAACTTTTCATATATTTATCTTACCGAATAATAAAAAATATGGGCAGTGATTGGGACGAGATCAAGCGCTTGGCAGCCGACTTCCAAAAGGCTCAGCTCACGTCAACTCTGCAGAAGTGAGTTTTGCCCGCAAATGATACCATTCCGTTTAAAAATTTCAATTGTTACATTTCCACTTTCAAAGGCTCTCGGAGCGAAACTGCGTGGAGATCGTAACGCTGCTGTTGGAGAAGCAAATGCTGGAAGTAGTGTTCACCAACGATGGTAAGGAGTACATCACCCCAGATCACTTGGAGCGCGAGATCCAGGACGAGTTGTATGTCAACGGAGGACGTGCCAATTTGGTGGAGGTCAGCAAAACCTTGAATGTGGATTTGTCCCGAATCGTAGGCTTAGCTGAGCGGATAGCGGAGGAAAATCCGAGCATTCATCTGGTATTGGGACAGCTAATCGACGAGGACTATATCAGTCACATTGCGCAAGAGATCAACGAAAAGCTGGCGCTTCGTGGAGAGATCTCCATATCGGACTTGGCTTCCCAGTTTGATTTACCTTCAGACTTCCTGCAGCACGACGTGGTGGAAAAGCACCTGGGCAGGATTATTAAGGGTCGCCAAGATAGCACCAATCCGCGAGTATTCTTCACCCAGGCCTATATCCAACGTTGCAAGGCGAAGATTCGTGGAGCTCTGACTGCTATTACCAGACCCACAAATGTGGCTGTTATCCTGCAGCAGATAGGAGTGCAGGAGAAGATCTTCCACTCTCTGCTGGACGAGATCGCGCCAGCCGGTCAGGTGACCTCAAAATTGGCAAACTCCCAGTATGTACCACATATCTATGCAAAGACGCAGGCCGACTGGGTCAACTCATTCTACAAACAGAATAGTTTCCTCGAGTACGACGCCATTCAAAAACTGGGTATTTCGGATGCCAAGTCATACATCCGCAAGCAGTTCCCCAGCGAAGAGTTCTTCTTCCTTAAGCGCGTGGCCCTTGGCGCCCGACTTGTGGAGCTCACAGTGGTCACTGCGCTAAATGAGTGCAGTGCCACCAAGCAGTATCTGGACCTTACCACAATCCTGCCTTCGAATCTGTCGTCAGAGGACATCGAGGAGGTTTTCAGCGCCATAATGGCCCAAAAGCAAAGCAATCCCAGCAATTTTGTGTACCTGGATAGCATCGGTATGTAATCGATTTTAAATTTACACTTTTAATTTAATCAAGGAATTTAGTTTAAAAGATTATATTTTAATTGATACAAATTTGAATATATTATTTCAGTATTCTCGCAACCGTATCTCGCTCAGCTGGTTCAGCCCTGTCAAGCGTTGGCAGAGTCCCATGCAAAGGCTGCCATCGACAGCGGGGTCTACCAGCAGTTCATTGTGGAAAAGACACTGGCCCAGAAGGGAAACGTTTCGACCCAAGAGTTTGAGGACGATGGCAAGGTGGACAAACGCGATGAGCGAAGGAAAAAGGCGTCATCTGGTAAAGCAGGCGGCGGAGCACAGGGACGTGAGACCAAAACAAAGTCTACAAAGAAGCACCAACGAGGCAAGGCAGCAGTTCAAAACGACAGTGATGATGAGGACGATGTGCAGCAGGGCTCTAGAGGAGGTGGTGGCGGGAACAAGAAGGCAGTTAAGCCATTGGAATTGGTCAAGTCTGCAGACATTGTTAAACTTATCAATTCCAGTCTGGAGGAGGAGGGATTGGAGCATTTGTCAAAACCTATTGCTGCTTTATATACGAGGTAAGAAGGTCATACGGGTCCATATCGATGAACGGTTCCATGATATCTAAGTTTTTTCACCATAGCCAATTTAATCAGACGGCTTTGGCACGTGCACAGGAGTTGTTTGAGGCTACACCGCAAACAAATCGTCGCCAGACGCATGCAGCTATCCAGGATCGCATTAATACTCTACTGATAGACATACGGCTTTACGAGAAGGGCTTAAAGCTCTTTCCCCAGGACACACAGACGCAGTTGATTAAATACCTGCTTAAATCTTTGGGTAATGATATCTGCAACGAACTTTCATTGTACGTGGCCAGTGAATGCAATTTGACTGTGAAAAACACCAACCTGAATGTAGATCAGCGAAATAAGTTGGCTCAGGAATGCGATGCGCAGTACCGCGCTGCCTTACTAGAACAAAACAAGGCCCTTAACAAGACTATTGACGAATTTGAATTAGCCACGGAAGCAGTGTTAAAGACTTGTAGTATGATCATCAAGAAGGTGGACAAGAAGAAGGATCGCTTGCTGATTGCAGACCACAAGAAGAAGCTGCAAGAGCAGTTGCTCGAGTGTCAGGACCCGGCGTTACTGCTGCATCTGGCTGCACTGATTCTGTTTACCACAATCAGTGGTTGCATTTTGCACGCGTCCGGAAAGTTTGTTTCTGCCATTTTGCAGCATATTCGAGCCTCACTCAATGAGCCACAAAATGCTTTGCTTCTCCAATATCACGGTAAGTTTTTGTTAATACTAAAGAATCCAATTAAAATTTTTTTTTCAGATTTAGTCCTACAAGTTTTGCAAGCAGCGCCGGACAGCAGCGATTCAAAGATTGCTCACGAACAACTACAAGCCATGCAGTCACAGGTCGTCGAACTGGCGCAGAATTTCGCACGCTCCTCTGTTTCTAAGGCTGATTAAGGAGGCAATGTGATTCCCTTAAGCTTAAAATGGTACTGGTCCGCAGTGGATTTTTAATTGTTAAATTTTCATAGTTTATAAATCGTTTTTATTATTGCTATGCATGCGAGTCGCCTAAATACAATCAGATACAAAACGATGAGCCTTAAACAGAGTTCCAAACTTTATCACTTTCGAGGTTTTATGTTTATAGGAAAACGATTTAAAATTGATTGGGCTGGAAGGGCTATTCTCAAGTTCGGTAAGCTCAAGCTAATATTTATAAAATTATTTACTGAGCACTTGCTATTTATATACATTGTTAAAGTCTTATAGTTACAAGATTTGCTAACAAGACAGATATACTTTGTGCTTTTCATGCAATCTACAACGAGTATTTGATTGTTAGGATTGATGTGAGAGGTCAATGAATGGTAATCCCCGCACTCTATAAACTATGTAGTCTTTGAAGAATTTGCTTGGCCTTATCGCTGGATTGCCTGGGGGAAGAAATTGAAATTAATGGCTGTTACATATAAATAAGAACTATAATTACTTACATGAAGACTGGATTGCTTGCATCACAGCTCTCTAAAGTTTGTTTAATATATCCTATAAAAAGCTCTAAGTTTTTGAGGGTCTCGCTGTTGGGCAACAACCAAACTGTGGGCAGGGTATTCACAATAACGTAGGCCTTGTTTATGGCATCATTTGGCGTGCAGACTCGCATGGCCAACAGTAGGTAGCGATTCAGCAGTGCTCCAATGGCCAGCTCCCGCAATAGTTTATCAGCCAGAATTCCCTGCCAGCTAAGAAAGTTGCGAAACAGCTTTAGACCGCTGCAAAACTGTCGCTGAAAGAACGACGTCTTCGCCTCTTGCACTCTGAATTACAGAATAGGGAAAGTTAAAGTGAAGTCTAATATATTTAAAGAATAATTAATCCACTTACTGCTTGGGAAAAATGGGTATAAAAACATCGTTTTCGAGTGCCAACCGCATGCGCTCCATGATGGATTCGAAAAGTTTGTTAAGCTGTTTATTAGTGCCGCTTAACGGAAACTCGCGACCCAACCGATTGATAAACCCGACCAATCTCAGGGTCTGCGTAGTAGACAAGGGATCCCAGCATTCCGTGACCAAAGCTAAGAAATAAGTAAATGTGACTTCTTGTCCCTTTTTGAAATATGTTTAACACTTACCAGTAACCTTAGGCAACACAATCTTTTCGATAAGCGCCGGAACCAGATTGGCATCCGGATCGTTCTTCAGTTGCTCCATAGTTTCACCTGGTTGGCAGGCATAAAGCATACAGGCCTGGTACCACCGCATGTTCTCTATATCCGCGTACTCATCTAGTAGCGGAGACCATAGTACCAGTTCATGACGCACCAGCGGCGCTAAAAGTTTCGGGAGGCACAAGCTAACAAACGCGTCTTGGTATGAGGTCATGTCCGTTTTCCGCCAGGCATAGAACTTCGACAGGATTAGCTCTATCTTATTGAAGTCGTCCGTAACATCCTCAAAAGGCCTCCACTGACTGGGATTCTATCTGCGCCATTGTCGTCGCGCTCTGTTCCTGTTGCTGGTCCGCAATCTCATCGTCACTTGACATTCCATCCAGGTGAGAGGAGAGCAGATCGTTACGTTCACGGTCGCATCGGCGGCGTGTCCTTCGACCTTCTCTTTCTGCGGCACGGCGGACTTGCTCTTCATATTCTGGTGCTTTTCGAGAGGCAGCGGATAACGGTTCTAAAATCATATTTCATTTAAAAAAAACCAAATCTTTGTTCGTGCAAATCCAAAGTCCTTTATCGATAATATAAAAAAAAGTCATACTTGCTGCTTCGGCGATTTCTTTTGCTTGATCCCTGACATCCTGCCTTCGCCTATTCACAAGATAGCGTTGGTTTTTTCCGTACTGTTGCAGTGCTCGTTTTTCCAGATCGTTGATTATTGGCGCCTTTTCGGAGAGACAATCTACAAGGTCGTTAACATAGCACTTGACTTCCTGGTAGAACTTGTACTTTGCCGCTGCTGTGGGTGCATTCTGGTGGCATTCAAGCTGTTGAAGTTTTAATGCCTTCAATTCAATACTGATCCTGGCCATACTGGCGCTATGATCTGCCGAACGCTCTTTGAGCTCGGTGAGACGCGACTGAATGGCGGCAAAAATCTCCTGCGGGGTCCGCAACGCCGTAGCCTTAGCCTTCTCCCTTTTCAACTTGGTGGATGAGCGAACTGCTGCTGCTAAATTGCTGCGGCTAAGGGAATTCTTTGCATAAGCCTGCTCAAGAAGCGTAGACGTGGACTGTGGTGCCGGTGAATCTCCGTCAACTATGCCGGACCCGCCCACGGGAGTTGTAGGCTTGATCATAAAACGGGAGAGCACGGTTTCATGCTGGGAATGGACCAATTGGGCAGCTGTGACACCCTTGCGGATCTGTTGGTTCTCCCATTCGTTCATCTCGCGGTCAGAGTCTTCTTCGGTAGCTGCAGAGGAGTGAACAAATTTTAGCAATAGTTAACAAATTTCACCTTTATTTGGCCTGGCTCTGCTTCTGGCCACAAATCGGACTGGGCCCCTCTACATACAATCATTCTCGACAGCATAGAACTGCTCGCGTCGCTCTTCGCGTTCTTTGCGTCCTGTAATGTCATTCATGTCCATGCGCTCCTCATCATCAGATTGATCGCCCTCGACGTCTTCGCAGGGTAGGCGGGTGCTCAGCTTGGGCGGCTCCTTGGGCTCCTCAACGGGAATATAGTCGCCGGCACCTGAAATTTAACATAAAAAGAATGAGTCTTTGTTGGAATTGTAATTCCACTGATCTTACCCTGTTCTCTGGCCCTTTGCCGACGCTTTCGGGCAGCGTGGATCATAGCAGCATCCGGAATGGATCCGCTTTCCAGCATCTGTTTTAAGTGCTCTGGCTTGGAGAAGCGGTGGCGCGTTTGGTCGTGACCATCCTCGGATTGCTGATCATCTTCGTCGCTCATATCCCCACGTCCAGCACACAGGGCAGCTCGACCATTGAGAATTGCTTCAGGCGTCTCTGATTTCTTTACCACTAGCTAGGGGACAAGGAGTAAAATGTATGTTATTGAGGATCTCAAGAGGATTTTCTTTAAGGGTAAGGCTGAAGATTGCATGCTGCTTGTAAGGAAGGGTAGACATGCGAGTAAGGTCAATGGTGGGAATAGTATCAGTTTTATAGCTAGGTAGGTATCAGATTTTATAAGTGAAAAGGTAAAAAGTATTTAAAAAGTTTGTTTATACTAATATTAAGCAATTTATATATACAATGGTTAAGAAACAAAATTTGTTAACCTTGTTGATAAAATCTAAAGAAGGTATGACTAAAATGAATGTCTTGGAAATTCCCGCGTCTAGAGTAATTTATTATTTGTCATAGATACCGAAAATGTTCTACCTAGATACTTCCCACCACTGATTAAATAACAAACAAAGCAACGTCTAAACTACTTGTTTCTAAAATGGCACTTTAATGCCAAACAATTAAAATAAACTCTAAACACACAATTAAACTCATTCAAGCTAGACGTGTAATCTTTGCTCCTAATCGATCTACGATAATTTAATTGTAATTTCTGATGTTGAAATTTCGTTAAACGGTATTATGGTAGAAGAAATTGAATAATAATAACCTTACCACAAAGTCGTCTGTGCGTATTTCGGTTTGGATCATATGATTATCACTTTTTTTACTTTTACTCTGATCACTGGCATTTTTATATTTGCCAGCATGGGCAGGATTCGAGTTGGAATTGGCGGGACCCGAAGATATGCCACCGGACGACTCTAAATGCTGTGTACTACCATTCTCGCCACTGGGATGTCCGCCGTGTTCCGCCCGTTCCTCTCGCTTCTTCTTACGGCGTTCCTTGTCCATCATGCGCATCACTTTCTTGCTGTGCGACGACTTTCGCACCTGGAAGACCTCGCCATCGTCCTCTGAAAGAGAATTATAGATTGCGGATTACGACTCCTCAGATTCGTATCCCTCTGCACTAACCATCATCTGCAAAGCTGAGGAGCGCCTTAGGTTTATTGTTGTCCTCCTGTAGCTTTATGGCCTTCCGGCTTTTCTCTTTGTCCTTCTTGCCGGAAATTATGGGAGGAGGAGGCGCCTCCATTTCGGCATCGGGATCCAAGGATGTGCCATCCTCCTCTTCATCCGCGTTGCTGGAAAATACGCGTCGCTGGATTTTCTTTGGTTTGCGGAATAGAGACATTTTCCACGTTGCTGACGATGCTTGGAATTTGTTTAATCAATGAAAACTCGGTAGCAAAGCGAATTTTCGCAAAAATTCCTCTTTTCAGTGTTACCAGATCTTGCAGCGGAAAATATTATTAGTACCATATTTTAAAAACCGGGAGCGATAACAAATCTAAGGCCACTCTGATCACATAAAAGCACGACATATCGTACCTGATTTTTGAACTAAATCTCCTTTAATAAAATATCTTTTATATTCTTTATATCCCAGCAAATGCATAATCCGTTTGATTATATTGTAAGCAAACAGTAATAAAATTTACAAAAGTTTCGCTTAAAAATTCTTTCCAACTCAATGGAACTTAAAAATTAAATCTGTACACATGGAATACCTTTAACTTATTATAAGCTGCATCTTATAAATGACCATTCCAAAATATCGGCAGAAATTGTAAGCTAGTTCATCCCTAAATACCATAAAACGCCCATCTCCAATCCCTGAATGCGTTTGAAAACAGAACGAAGTTGTCGTTAATATATTGGTGCTTTAAGCCATAGAATCTCAAAAAATGGGCCTTAAAGGTTGTGAAGTGCAATTGGACAACCCTTGGAACACGTACTATGCGGGTCAGACGGTCAACGGTCAGGTGAAGTTCACATTCGACTCGCCCAAAAAAGTCCGAGGTAGGTGCGAATTAAATTTTTGGCCAAGTAAATGTTAATTATAATGCCCAGCTGCGTTGTATTAGTCATAGAAGTGACTACACCTTTGTAAAAGCCAGTATTGAATTGAATTTTTAGATATATATGTAAATAAATTGCATACATTTGTATATGTATGATATGCAGTTTGTTTTTTCTTTTATGACTAACACCTCCCAGAATTCCTTTTACAAAACGCCGGTACACCTACCACATATTGTGGGTTGGTCCTCTAAGTTTTTAAGCGACCTTGTTTTCATATAGCTAGTGGGTATTGAACCCGCCAAAGAAGTGCACTTTCTCCCACCTCAGTTAGGCGATAACGAACTATAAATAGCTTCAAGTGTGAACACAATAGAAAGTAAATAAATAGATCTGAATGAGGGTATGGACGTGTAACCTTTGTGACGAACATTCCACAACAATCAAATTTTGAGGTCGCCAAACACGGGTCAGCGATGCTGTTTGTTGGCGATGATGTCATCCGTTGGGCATGCTGGGGCGAGCTTTTCATATTATTTATAGCTAAAAATAAAACGCGACAGTGACGTCGTAGATTGTCATTCAGTAAATAAAGCCACTTGTTCCTCGTAGGAATCATCATACGGTTCTTGGGAGAAGCCAACACGGAGTGGACAGAGGAAAAGAGTGTAACCACCAGCGAAGGAAAGACAGAGAACGAAGTCACCCAGCTTAAGGGACATGAAGAGTATTTCAAGATCCAGTACTATCTGTTGGGCGGCAAAAACAGTAAGTATAAATAATTAATCAGTAGAATTTGATAGATCGTTCCAATCACAGCAATAAGATTTACATTTTCGTATATATATAAACGCATACGAATTACACGGAATTTTGTAAAATTGATTCAAGGTTAATTTGGAAAATAATTTTGTGTAATGATACTAACTCGTAATAGTATTTTCTTTGCCCTACTACCGGTCAAACATCCTGCCGAACATACTATATCTTATAAATGTCACAGATATATGATAATATATATCAAAAAGAATTATTGTATTTATAAATGTATAATTTTTCCAGGTACTGAGACGGAACTACCGGCTGGCACCCACACATATCCATTCACTTGCGCCCTGCCACCAAATTTGCCTTCCTCCTTTGAGGGTGAATTCGGTCACGTGCGATTCACCATTAAGGTGACACTGGATCGCCCCTGGAAATTTGACCAGGACATGAAGATGGCCTTTACGGTTATAGCGCCTGTTGACCTGAATCTCAATCCACGCGTCAAGGAACCTTTTAAGCTAGAGCTGGAGAAGTCATTTTGCTGTTTCTGCTGTCGCTCGGGTCCACTGGCCGTCATCACTAGCATACCGCAAACAGGATTTGTTTCGGGGCAGGTGCTGCCTATTACCTGTGAGGTGGATAACACCAGCAATGTTAATCTCACCGCGGTAAAGTTTGAACTACGCAAGTTAGTTACCTTCCATACGAATCAACCTCGAAGTGAAAAGCGCGAGTCAAAGGTGATCATAGCCAACTTAAGTGTTGGCCCAGTCAATGGCGGCGAGTCTCGAACATTTACGCAGCAACTGGAAATACCAGCGTTGCCGCCAACTAATCTTCTAAACTGCGGAATTATCGCTTTGGATTACGACCTTCATGTGGAGTGTGATGTTAGCGGTCCTCATCGTAATCTCACCGGTAAGGTGCCCATCACTTTGGGTACCATTCCGTTGGCGGGCGTAAAACCGCCTACCCAATTTACAGATGCTCCTTCGGCCGTCCAGTCCGAGGATCCATCGCTGGCGCCCACACAGCCCGTTAGCCCGGCCAGTCCTCCTGGCGGTGATGGTGTTGGTGGTGCCCTGGGTTGGAACGTGGCTGACAGCACTGGTGGTGGTGGTTCCCTGTACCCCAATATACGTAAGTATGAATTCGAATTTATTTTATTACTTATTAAAAAAAATCAGGGAGTAAGATTTACTTATAAAATTGTTTAACCTTTTTTAGCTCCTCCGCAATTCGTGGAAACCCAATATCGGGCACCGACCATTGCAGGACGGGACGACTCAGAGCATACGCAGATAATCGGTGATGGAGCCTTCGCTCCCCGTTATCCGACCTTCCAGTTCAATAATGCAACAGCACCGCCAGCGAACCAGTGAAAGAATCTCTAAACCGGAGACACAACGATATTCTGAAACATTTTAACTCAAACGTCAAGAAAGAGAATTGTACTCATTTTTATATGAGTTTCCATGGAAATTCAATGAGTAGATGGTTTTTAAGATAATATTGAAGAGGGATTTTTTTCTTTCGTTCTTTTTAATCGGCTTTGCATTTATTATAGCTTTCCGTCCAAACCGAAAGCCCAAACAGCTGCAGTCAAAATAATATGAACCCTTGCAAAAAGTTAATAATTGTTAAGATACACATTTCTCTGTTATTTGTATTATAGTAGAGACTCTTTTAGATCCAATCTAAAGTTGATATTTCTGCTGTATATTGTATTTCTAATACTTCTATTATTCAAAAATAATGTTTTAGCTTTAAAGGGAAGTTGTTGTCTTTTATTTTGACTGCAACTGAATAAATAATCGTATATATACGCACAATTTAGTCAAATCCGATTTGAAAATGCAATTACGCTGCTCAAAATTATTCTTTTCTCATTTTATAAGCCTGCAATAGTGCCTGAAACTGATGTACGACTATAATCGTAATAAAACACAAAAATGTATGAATAATTATTACGAATGTTGAAATTTAAGGGCATAAATTTTGATCGTGAATTGGCAGACTTAGGAATTTAGAATTTGTACAAGGTCTATTTCTTCTTTTTCTTGCAGTACTCCTCCAGTTCCCTGGCCTTCTTTTCTGCCAGCGCACACTTGCACTGCTCCTTGAGAGCTATTTTCCTGCATTTGGCTTTTAAAGCCTTGACCTTCTTTTTATTTCGTTTAAGCTTCTTTTCGGCCATCTTCTTGCATATCTGGAAAAGTATATCGGGATTGGATTTTGGCGGTGGAGATGGGGTTGGGGATTTGGGTGGTGATGAGCTTGTAGCTTTGGGTGGTGGCGGAGAAGAAGGCTTTCCGATGACCTCTTTTCTGATTTCTTCCTTTACCTCCTTTTTGACTTCCTCCTTGAACTCCTTTTCGGCCACTTTTACAGCTTTATTTACATCGTCTACAACTTCCTCGAGTTCTTCTTCGAATTTGTATTTAGCGCATACGTCTTCTTTTTTGTCTTCCGTTTTTTTCATTTTTGCGCACAATTCTTTTTTTGCTTGTAAGTCTTTTTCGGCTTTTTCCCTTGCCGCCTCAGCTGCTTTGCAGGCTTTGACCCTTGCCTCCTCTTCCAGTCTGGCCTTTTCACATTCCGCCTTTTCCTTTTCGAGCTTATCCTGTTTGGCCTTCTTTCGGCATTTTTCAATTGCTGCCATTTTCTTGCACTGCTCTTTCATTTTCTTGGCCTTGGCCTTTTCGGCAAGGGCTTTTAGTTTTTTCTGCCTGGCCTTCGCCTTCTTCTTTTGCTCCTTGGCCATTTTGGCGCACTGTTTTTTTATTTCGTACTGATCTTCATCGGGGGGCTTATTGGCATCCTCCTCAGCCTTCTTGCGTGCCTCCTCTTCTAACCGCTTTCGTTCTGCTTCGGCTTCCTTGCGGGCAGCTTCGGCCCTTCTGGCGCACTCTTCCCTCTCCAATTGCTCGCGACAGGCTCGTTTTATGGCCTCGATTTTAGCCAACTTCTCGCAGTTCATTTGATCGGCTATTTTCTGGATTTGTTTGTTTAGCTTTTCCAACTCCGCTTCCTCGTCAGGGCACTTCTTCTCTTCAACACACTCTTCCTCTTCCTCTTCGCTTTCTCCCCTTTCTTTTCTAATGCACTTCATGCACTGCTCCAGCTCGGCTTTCTTCTGGCATTCCTTTGCCTTGGCCAATCGCTTGCATTTTTTACCTGCAGCCATATCCTGGCACTTCTTAAGCATCGCCTGATCCTTGTACATTTTGCAGCGCTTTTTTAGCCTTTCCATTTCCTTTCCATCATCATCACCTTTTTTTCCACCACCTTTACCCTTACCATTGCCACACTTTTTCTTCTTTTTTTTACTCTTACTCTTTTTTCCGCCGCATCCATGTTCGCACCCGTCGGCAGAGGTGGCCATTTCGGGGAGGCTTTTACGTTTCAAGGACATCCTTATGTTGGACCACTTATTTCCGAGGATTCTCTGCTCCATTAGCAGCTCTAGATCCCCCAAGAAAGCACATCGCAAAGGCTGATCGCGTCGCAGGCAACGAGTATCACTGGTAGCTATAAGAAAAAAGAAGGAGGATTTACAGCGATAAGAGCATTCTATACCTTAAACCCAGAAAAATATTCCTTAGAAAAACTCACCTTCCTGGGAAATCAACTCGCTTCGCAGTTTTATTAAAGCTTTCCATAGGTCATGAGCTGGTTTTTGAGAAGGCTTACGGTCCTCGTTGATTTTAGCCACGTGACACATCTGGATGAACCTGCAACAATTGCAGGCACGGAAACAAGCACCCGGATAGTGGCTCAACGCCAGCGAGGCTCGTTTTAACATACTTTCCTTTAATTTTGATTCCAAAAGTCAACCGATAATTTAAAAGCCAAAAATGGTAATATGCAAAAGCTAAACAAATTATGACCCGATATGCGTCATTATATTTCCCAAACTGGAAAATAAATGTGCCTGCCTGTATCTGACGTTATTATCACAGTCTAGGAGTCTAGGCCCCAGGGAGTGTAATATAAAAAGGATTGCTGGAAATATCCTTTCTTAAAAGATACCCTAGAAATATTTTGGTGTAAGTGATTACCAAAAACCACTTTTATTGCCAATAAAAAATGTAACATATTTGTACTACTTAGTACTATTATAAAAGTACAGGTTTATTCCTTTCCTTTCTCGATTTTAATGCTTTTAGTGAGGACACAGAGACAAGTGATTCGAGGAGGACACAGCCGTAGAACTAATTTACGTTAATATTTATTTCGAAAGACATATTAGGGTCGAGTTCTTCGGCCGAGTGATTGTGTGGGCATTCATTAAAAACAAGAGAAAACGCTATAGTCGAGTGCCGCGACTATAAGATACCCTGCAGATGGCATGGATAAGATGCAGAGGCATCTCTTAAATACGTATTCTTAAGCAAAATTTTGTAGCTTTTATAGTTTTCGAGATTTTTGCATTTTTGGTTTTTCAAGTTTTGTGGGCGGCGTTAGAGTGGGCGTGATTGCGAGCATCATAAAAACCTACATGCTTAATCCGAACTTTCTATCTCTTATAGTTACCGAGATATCAGCTTTTTCTAGAAAATCCGAAAACCGTCTTTTAAGCCTTGGGGGCGTGTGGGTGGATGTGGCCGGATAGTAGTACCACTATAAGATGGGATGGCCTCTAAAGATTTTACCACTTTCTAGCTTTAATAGTTCCTGAGATTTCAGTGATTTTAGTTTTTCGCGATTTGTGGGCGTTAGAGTGGGCGTGGCAGGATGCTGTAATAAACTTGCGCTGCGTAGGGACCTCAAGAATCTTCATGGTCTTCAACTTTGTATCTCTTATAGTTCCTGGGATCTCAGCGTTCATACGGACGGACGGACAGACGGACAGACAGACGGACCTTGCTCATTCGTCTTCGCTATTCATCTTGATCAAGTATATATATTGATACTTTATAGGGTCGGAAACGCTTTCTTCTATCTGTTACATACTTTTCAACGAATCTAGTATACCCTTTTACTCTACGAGTAAAGGGTATAATTAACATATTTTTTTATCAGGATCACCAGCCAAGTTAATATAGCAATGTCAATTTTATTTGTCCACATCAATGTTGAGATGTTGGGAACTATAAGTTCTAGATTTTCCACACCAACTGTGAAGACCACGTTATACAGCATATACGGACGGACAGACAACCATTTTAAAATATACCCAGATAATCTGGTTTTTATATTTTTCTTTCTTTTTATTTTAAATAAGGTTAATCATATTAATAAAACAATGATTAGTTTTTAAGAAACCGCGTTAGCTTCGATCAGTGGTTTACTTTTTCTTGTTCTTGTTCTTTCGAGCCTTTTTAGCCTTTTTCCTGCATTTCTCTTTCTCGGCCATTTTTCTGCATTTTTCCTTTTGGGCCAGTTCTTTGCACTGCTGCTTCATTTTCTTTAGCTTTTCCTTCTTGGCTAGTTTTTCACATATTTCCATTTGAGCAATTTTCTCGCACACTTCGCACCAATCGATTTTCTTTACCTTGCACGGATCTGGTTTTTTGCAAGGATCTTTTTTCTTGCAGGGATCTTTTTTCTTTTTTACCTTCTTAGCGCAAGGGTCCTTTTTGGGACAAGGATCTTTTTTAGGCTTAGGTTTAGGGCAACAAGTATCTTTTTTCGCACACGGATCTTCTTCCTCACAAGGTTCTTCATCGTCGCAAGAATCCTCTGTTTCACAAGAATCTTCTTCTTCCTCGCAGCTATCATTTTTCTTTTTCTTCTTCTCTTTTTCCATCAGTTCCTTACACCTCTTTTTCTCTTTATCTTTCTTACATTTTTCCTTTGCTGCCAACTCCCTGCACTTTCTCTTTAGTTTTTCCTTCTCACCCTTCTCCTTCTGAGCCAATTCCTTGCATAGCTCCTTGATTTCATCATCGCTGGACATGCTGATTTCTTTAGCCAGCCGCTGGCATTCCCTTTTCATCTTTTCCAGATCTTCAGGCTTTTCCTCCCTTAGCCGCCGAACCTGCTGTTGCCTCAGATCTTCGAGGAACTGCCGTTGCATGGGGTTAGCGACTGCGGAACATTCATGCTCATGGATACGGATCACTCCTATTGACCCGTCGCCAAATCTTTTCGGCCCCTGAACAGGAAGGCCATAGGGTTTGCAGGTATCTATATAAGAAAAATATTACTAACTTTTCAAGCGGACTCCCGAAATAAATACCAACCTTCATTTTCAGGATTTGAAAGGAACCTTAGGTGGTGGGATCGTATACAAGAAGACTGTAAGCACCGACAAATTAACGCGGATCTTTTAATCATATTAATTTTTAACTTTTGTGGCCAAAACTCACACAAAATTTTGAAAAAAGAAACTCAATTAAAGGATAGTTGTTTAGTCTAACCAACTCACGACTAAACTGAATTTTGACTAAAAAATCTCTCCTAATGTGGTCATTCGACCGACACAAAAACCAAAGAAAACTTGTGAAAACTTTAAAAAAAGGAAAAACGCCATCTGTGTCTAAAACTAAAGAATGTTAGGTTTTAAATAAAATATTATATAATGAAATATGAAATATATTGAAAACAAATTTAAAATCTGGCTTAGCAGAAAACTTCTATAGCCCAGCATATGGCAATTATATGGTATAATCACGCATCAAATCAGACATTCGAACTTCTACTTTCCATTTATTCTCCCCTTTTCTTTGATTAAATAGTTATTTTAGTTCTTTTTGTGTAAACAATCTATCAAAAATTTACTTAAATTTCAATGTTTTATTATAGTAATAAATAATAAAATTAAATTATTCGCAAATAGTCATTTTAGTTGTTTTTATGTAAGCAATCGATCAAAAATATATTTAAATTTCAATGTTTTATTAGTTAAAATAAAATAAATTTCATTTTAGAATCCGAGAAAGCTGCATTATTTCTTGCATTTGTCTTTTTTGGCCAGCTTCTTGCATTTTTCCTTTTGCGCCAGCTTCTTGCATTTCTCCTTTTCAGCCAATTCCTTGCACTTCTTTTTCATATCATTTTTCTTGCAGGGATCTTTCTTCTTGCAGGGATCCTTCTTCTTGCAGGGATCCTTCTTCTTGCAAGGATCCTTCTTTTTGCAGGGATCCTTCTTCTTGCAAGGATCCTTCTTTTTGCAAGGATCCTTCTTTTTGCAGGGATCCTTCTTTTTGCAGGGATCTTTCTTTTTGCAGGGATCTTTCTTTTTGCAGGGATCCTTCTTCTTGCAAGGATCCTTCTTCGCCATTGCCGCACATTTCTTTTTGAGTTTAGCCTTTTCACATTCTTCCTTCGCTGCCAAATCCTTACATTTTTTCTTTAAGGCTTTCTGTTTGCACTTCTCTTTTTGGGCCAGCTCCTTGCAGGCCTTTTTGATATCTCCACCTTTTGCAGCCATGGTGATTTCTTTGGCTAGCCTCTGGCATTCCTGTCTCATCCTTTCAAGGTCTTCATGCTTTTCTTCCTTTAGCCACCGGTTTGCTCCGATCCTTTTCGCCTGCTGCTGCTCTAGATCGTCCAGGAACATAGGATTGGGAAGTAAGGAACAATTCTGGACATGAATGACTCCAAAAGAGCCATCGCCAAGTTTTTTCGTCTGCTGATTTGGAAGGACATCGGGATTGGCAGTTTCTATGATAGTAAAGTAATATAATTACGAAGTTTAGCCGATTTATGAGACTCATAACGCACCTTCAGGTTTAAGGTTTGCAAGATGGTAGGATCTTATAAGGTTTGGCTGAACCGACCGACCGTTTAAGCACTTCTTTGACGCACCGACCCAAGGCAAACGCGGAACGTTTAAACATTTTGATATAAAATTTTGAATTTTGGTAACAAATAATTTGTAAAAACAATGAATTTTGAAAAAGGAGCTCAACAAATTTTGGTTTGTTCAGCCTTCGAAACCAGATTCGAAATGAAATTCTAGCTGGAAACTCTCCCCTAAATTACGGGAATTCAACTGACATTAGAATCGATGGTGGCCTGTTACACAGATAAGCAACCCAAACGACATCTTAGACTTTCTTGATCAGCTCTTAGATGTATGAATATTGTAAGGATTTAAGATATAACAGTAAGAAAGGTTAAAAGTACTTTTATAGTAAAGACAAGATAATAATAACAAGGCTCAAGCTTGGAAACACTACATGGTCCCAACACAAGCCAGGGTCTGTCCGTTCTGTAACGATACCAACAATGCCTTATTAATTAATAATTTATTGACTAACTGCAAGGCACTAAACTGCCAAAGACAGCTAATATTTAAAAACACCAATCCACTAGAATCCATCTCAAATCCTACATCACCAAACATATTAAAAATAATACTATTTCTAAAAAACACAAACTTTTTTCACCTTATTTAAGATAATTCTAACTTAGCAAATGTATACATAAACAAGAGGAAACGTTATATTCGAGTGCCACGACTATAAGATAACTGTTACTGTATTCCGACAATTTTAAAATATTCATTTTGATAGTGGCAATTCACAAATTGTCAAAGAAAGTATTGATATTGATAGTGACGTCACTGCCCATATTAAGCCTTATAACCTTCATAAATATCGAAATAAGTGGCATCTCTTAAATACGTATTCTTAATCACAATTTTGTAGCTCTCATAGTTCCCGAGATTTTCGCCTTTTTGGTTTTTTCTGGGTGTTAGAGTGGGCGTGGCTTGATTGGAAAAAATAATTCTAGAAAATGCGAAAACCGTCTTTTGATCTTGGTGGGCGTAAGAGTGCGTGTGGCCGGATAATGGTACCATCATAATATGCGCTGGCATCTAAAGATTTTACATACTAAATTTCTATTCTTATAGTTCCTAAGATCGCAGCGTTCATACGAACAAATTGACTGATCCTATACTATATATATATATACTTTATTGGGTCTTATTAGGGGTTTTTATAGTTATCAAGATCTCTTGGATATGGCTAATAAGCCGAGTCGCCTAGGAATCATAACTAAGAATGTAGGAAAGAGGATACCTTTTATTTATGTTACATATTTTTATTCGACTACTTAATTGCATTTTACTCTATAATTTCGTAAGATTTTACTAAAAAAAAGTTATTTTTCTAAAAATAAATTAAATTAAAAAGAAAAACCTAAAAGAAAAATACCCTCCTGAAATGTATTTTATATAGAACGCAAGTACTTATTTTTTTGATTTTGTTTAATCCCTAAAAGTCCTAATAACATCCTGGATTCATTATCATTTAGATCCTTAAAAATACGTAGGTGTTTTATCCTTCCCTCTTAGAACAGAAAAACATTGTCTTATTTTTTTTATAAAATTGTAATATTCAAATATAATTTATATTACGGTAAAATAACATTATTGATCTTAATCATTGGGTCCTCCGCTGATCTATCAGATCGACCTCTTTGTAAGGGCACACGTTTCAAGGCATTCTTCATTCTGGATTCGGATCGACAATCCCGAGTGCAAAACGGATGGACTGGCAGATTACTTGACTTTGTTAGAGTTGTTGGCCGCATCTGGAAATACAGAGAACTGTGCCCCCATCGGTTAGAGCTTTCAGTCTTGACCTACAAACAACCTAGGTCGCCTCCCAGAGTTTTATTTATACTTCGGAATGCTTTTGTTTCGCTTGGTTGTGGCTGTGTAGTTGCTAGACTTTTACTATCAAAGTTGAGCCGACGCTGATTTGCGACACCTTATCAGACCCCGGGGTGGTATAAAATTTTAATTGACTCTGAATAATTCCCTCGTTTCTTACGATGTCGTGCGAAATGGAACTAATCTATATACTACAGTTAGCTGGGCGTCAATCACCTCGATATGACATTCAAAAAGGTCTCTGATAATAGTGCGTTGTGTATTTCCGTTCTGTTTGCCCCCAAAAAGTTTTGGTAGAAGAAATGCGTTCTATTGCTTGGCCCCCTTAATGCTAAAAATGTTGAAAAACACATTCATTGAATATCTGTATATAAGCTTAATATTTATGAATAATAATTCCTAAGACTGTTGATATAAACTCGTACGAATAACCTAAAACTTGTATTATTCTTACAACAAGGCAACAAACTATATGAGGTATCTATCCTATTTAACTCATTAATTGATACAAGTACATCTAAAAGTAGTTTAACTAGAACTGATAATGCTACAAACTACTATATAGACTATAAACTGACGTCAACCACTTTCAGTTCATTGAACCCAAAACTTACCCAGAAGTGCCGCAGAAACCTCGGCAGATTATTGGAGAAGTGACGACTCCCGCAGTCGTCATCCTTGTCCTTCGTCAGCTCCTTAAGACGCTTCATCTTCTTGGCACACTCCTCGGAACCGCCCATGATCTTGATATCTCTGGTCTGCTGCTTCTCCCGGAGAAGCTCACGTGGCGTCTTTTTGGGTGAAGAGCATTCGGGCGAGCCTCCTTTTATTTCGGTGTCATCATTCTTGGCGAAAAGTTCAAAAGTGGGAGGTTCCAGGACGGTTTCTATAAGGCGAGTGCCTCTAGAGGGTTCATTAGATAAATTCAGCTTCTGTTCATTGAGTTCACAAAAAAGTTCGTTGACTGATCTTCGCCTGAGGAAGGTCCTCTCCCAACTCTTGGATACCATAGGTTTATTATTATTCTTAAGTATGGATCCTCTAGTCGAAAAAGCAGCCAAGGAGCTGGTGCTCAGGTGTCGACGACCTGTATAGGAGGACATTTTCCGTTTGCCTTCAGTGCTTTTGCCTTCGGTGCTCTTGTCTCTGCCGAAGATCTTGTCAAAGAAGTGTTGGATGAGGCTCTTTTCGGCTGGCGGTTTGGACTCCGCTGGTATTTGCACCGCTGGCGTTTCTCCCGTAACTTTATCCAGGAGCTTCAGAGACAGTTCCCCATCGTCCAGCTTTGGCCTTTCTTTCTTTAAGTCAGGTTCCTTGACCGGAACCTTTTCCTCAACTTTCGTTTTGGTTTCATCCAATGCCGTGGGTGCCTTGGCTTTGACTTCCTCCTTTTTAGGCTTGACCTCTGGAGCTTCTAGGCTTGGACTGGATTCCTCGGCTTCCTCCATATCAGTTTTGCCTGTTTCTAGCCCGGCCGGTGAAGAGATTTCTTGGGTAATTGGATCATAGAGATCGCTTGGTGTTAGCTCAGAAGTTGTTTCCAGTTTATTTTTGGTCTCTAACTTGGGTTTGTTTACTCTTTGTGATTTTTGGGTGGCATTGGTCCTGTTACCATCTTCCTCAGCGGACTTCATGAAGGTCGAGACCTTCTGAGCCAGATTAAACCTTTTCCGTTCAACATTCTTATCATCCTCACCTTTACCCTCCTGCTTATCTTTGCTTTCATTCTTTATTTCTGTATCTTTATAATCGTTATTTTTCTTAGCCTTCTCACTGCTTTCTTCTCGTATTGTAGAATCCAAGTTACCTAGACTGGCGAAGCTTTCTTTGGCTTTGACTTCCTTGTTCTTAACTATTGCTTCTTCGTCTGTGACGGTTGAGTCCAAGTGGCCAAGTTTTGAAAAGTGATCATCGGCCTTCTTTCCTGAGTGTGGTTTTTCATCTCCTTTCCTATCAGACGCGGATGAAACAGTGGTGAAAGGATCTGTTTTACTTTCCTTTGGGGCTGTAAATATTTCAGGATGAGTCCACCATTTATTCGAAGGATTATTAAACTTTTCGAGTGACTCGAATAATTCTCTGACTTTACCTTCTTCACTTTTAGTCTGATTAGTATCGTTTTCCTCCTTAAACATCGCTACTATTTCCTCGGTGGTCTGACTTTTAGTTTTTTGCTGACCTATGGCCACGACATTCTGTTTTTCAGAATTGACCATTGCGTTTGATATATTGGAATCGCCTAATGAAGATTTCCAAGTATTAGAATCTAAACTTTTACCTACAAGAGGCTTACTCGGGGTTAGCTTAATGGGCATAGTTGCTTGGCTGGTGGTATCCTCCTTAGTATTCTTCGTAGACTTCAGTTCAGTAGATGGTATTGAATTCATTGTTTTCCTAAATTCGGTTGGAGCTTCATTCTTGGCCACGATTTTAATTGGCAACTGCAGTTTCGGGCTGATGTTGGCTGTTTTGGTGATGTCTTTACCAGAAGGTGAGGATGTCGTGTCCTTAGAAACCAATGCATTGCCTTTCTTCTCCGACATTGTGTTTTTAGATGCCGACACTCTAAAGTATGGTTTTGGTAATGGGGCCGGAGTTCCTTCTGGGCTTTGGCCTTGGAGCGTTGATGTCGTGTCCTTAGAAACCAATGTATTCTCTTTCTTCATTGACATTTTTCTAAAATATGGTTTTGGCAATGGCGCAGGAGTTTCTCCTGGGCTTTTGGTTTCGATGGCAGTTATGTCCTGAGATTCCGAAGAATTGTCTTTCTTCACCGACATTTTCCTAAAATAGGGTTTTGGTAATGGTGCCGGAATTCGTTCATTGCTTTCGGTTTCCCTGGAAGATTCTTCCTTTTGTCGTTCCTTCGTTTTGTGTAGTTCGACCCATTTCATGATCACATTCTTATCGGTTTGATAATGCTTGATCGGAATGACTTTTTCTGGTTTCTTCTCCTCTCCCTTGTCAGATGCCAGACCAAATTCTGCATTTCTGCAGATGAGTTTCACTGAATTACCAGAAACATCTTCCTCTTGAGGCATATTAAACGTGGAAATCTGAGTGGACTTCTCAGTTTGTACTATGTGTAAAGGGCTGGGCGTAACCTTAAGGTGGAAGCTTTCACCTGAACCAGGCGATTTAGATGTCGATCCTAGCTTGAAATCATCAGACTTATGATTTAAGGGTTGGTCGTTACTAACTTGATTCTTAGAGCTATTATCTTCAGATGTTATAGAATTTTGAAACATATTCAGAGGAAGAGATTCTTGCGAACTAGAAGATTCAGATTTGGACTTAACTTCAGCTTCAGCAAGGTTCGAATCCTGCGACTTGAACTGAGAAGAAGCTAGGAAAGTGTTTTCAGGCGGAAGATCTATTGAACTTGTTGAGCATTGAACGCTGGCTTCCGTACTAAATCCATTTGAGGTCAAGTCCGTTGATTTGATCTCAGATTTAATGGGAAATAAGGTTTGATGATTAGGCTCGACGATGTAATCGGATATACTTGCTGCCAGGGACTTGAGCTCGGATTCAATGGCAAATAGGTTATCTAAATTATTGTAGTCTTTTGGAGGAGTGGAGGTTACTTGGGTAGATAAGTCTATGGAGAACATGTTAAAGTTTACAACTGCGAAATCCAGCCCGGCTTTGCTTACCTTTAGTTTCTGCAAACTTTTCTCCTAAATCTTTTCTCCCTAAAACGTTTATCGGAGTTCCCGATAGATCTTTGGAATCCAAACTGCAGACAATGGTTTGCGGATTTGGTGGCTTGACCACCGCAGGCGAGGGCTGTGCTCGATTAGGCTGATCTTGTAATGGCAGGATCTCTGGCTTCGACTCGTAGGGGCACTCTGGGCTTCGCTCTCCGGGAGTCTTCGGCTGATCGGGTGGTTCTGCTGCCGTCTCCAAGCCACCAGTGATGTTGCCTAGTGCTTTGCCTTCACCCAAGTCCTGACCCACCCGATTAGGATTTTTACCCTCTTCGGATTCCCCAGATTTCGAGGAACTGTTGTGCCGACGGCGACGTTGATGCACTAGCTCGAAGGACGGATCACGTGAGTGGTAGGAGAATCGCAGCAGCCTGATGCAGTTTGTGGTTCGGCGAAAGGCCGCGATACTGCCGAATGCAATGCCGGCCATCTGGCTGCTGAAAGTCGGAGGTCGGTGGGCGCAGGTCAACTGATACACTGCCGGGAACTCAACGAATTTGGTTGTTCGAAATAAGTTTTTGTCGAAATGTTAGTTTTTGTGCATGGCTAAGTCTAAGGCCTAATGATTGTAACGCAATAGTGTACTGTGTTTCCTATGCTATATTTAGATCGCTTATGTAGTACAAAGTGCTTAGAATTTGCAAGGATTATTGGTGTCCCTGGGCTGCACGTGGATCATGACCTTAATGGCGCCACCCAGTCCCTTGCGAGAGGTCTCGAACGCCTTTGCAGTCTCCTTGATGTCGAAATGGTGTGTCACCAGTCGCTTCACATTAACTTTTCCAGAGGCCACCAATGCCAGAGCAGCAGCATAGCTAAAAGGATCCAAGGTTAATCTGAAGATCTCTTTTATGAACTCTAATTTTACTCGTTGCAGTAGCGGAAAACTCCTCGAATATCCAATTCACGGGTCAGGGCGTTGATCAGAGGCAGCTTGACTTCAGCAGCTCCCATGCCCACCACTACCACGATTCCACCGGATTTTGTAGCCTAGTAAATGGAATTTGGAACTTAGTCCTTCTACTTTATTAGATCCTTTAAGATAACCTACAAAGATGGCCAGGCGGGCGCTGCTCTCCGCACCACAGCAATCGATCGACTTGTCTGGCTGAACGCCCAAGGTTTTTTTGACTAGCTCCGCCGTCTCTTCGGCGTTCTGTTCCTGCTTCAGAAGAAGCGTGTGTGTAGCACCCAGCTCCTTGGCCACATTCAGGCGCTGCTGCAGCAGATCTGTGATCAGGATCTCAGAGGCACCCATGGCTTGAGCAGCCTGTGAAGAAAGAAATTATGACTCGTTTACGGTATCCGCTGTTAAAAGCTAATATTCGCTGTTATAAATAGCTTTATCAGCCTCTTTAGCCTTGAGTTTATCTTGTTTATAGATAGATCTTAGCTTAAGCACTAAACAAATATAAACTTACCATCAGAGTGACCAGTCCGATGGGACCTGCTCCCAGGATGAGAACCTTAGAGCCCAGGGTTACCTCTGCCCGCTTGCAGGCATGCACGCCCACAGAAAGAGGTTCGAGCAAGGCTCCCTCCTCCATGGAGACGTGGTCGGGCAGCTTGAAGCAGAAGTCTGCCGGATGTTTGTAGTAGCGGGTGAGGTTGCCATCATAAGGGGGCGTGGCACAGAAGACCATTCCGGGGCACAGGTTGTACCTGCCCTGCTTGCAGTGATCGCAGTAACGGCAGGGTACACCCGGTTCGATGGCCACACGATCGCCAATCTTCAGGTTGGTTACCTTCTTGCCCAATTTTGTTACCACGCCAGCGGATTCATGGCCAATCACCATCGGCTTGGTGAGCACGAAGTCACCGATTCTTCCGTGGACCAGGTAGTGGACATCTGAACCACAAATGCCAACGCTGTCCATGGCCAGAAGGACCTCTAAACGGAAGAAAATAAATTATAAACTATTCGGTACATAATGATTATTATATTTAAGTTATTAAATTAAAACCAAATTAATATAAAGCTAAAAGATAATATAAAATGCTGGGTTTTCCGCCACAGAGTTGTTCACAACGCATAAATACAATAAGATTAAGTTGACTGTAAGATTCTTTTCAATAGCAAAGCTTATTTAATAATAAGGTGTATATGTACGCCGATGCAACGGGATTGACAAAAAGATAGAAAATTTGGGTATTTTACATTTAACAGCAAAATTATACAACAAACAGAAAACTTTCAAATTTTAGAAATTACCTTCGACTCTAGGTTTAATTTTAAGAAACACTGCTTATTATCAAAAAACTAGTTAGAATCTCGGCTTAATATAAAATTAATTTCTAAACTGAAAATATTCACAGTCATGGTCAACATAGCCAGCCACTCACATCAAGATAATTCAACACTGTTCTATAGAGCAGGGGTGCTCAAAATTGTCTTACGGCAGAGTATTTACTGACCCAAATACAAGAAATGGGCACATATTTAGGGACGCTTGTGTTTTGGTTTGCAACAGTGCACTGAGAGAAAGAAAAAACATTTTTTTTACGTATCATCACTCATTTAACTGACGGCTGCGAATTTAATTTCAAAGTGCAAACCGAAGTTAGAAGGAATGATTTCCAGTGCAAGTGTTCGAGAATGATCTACATAGGTAGAAACAAAAAAAATTAATTTACAGTTAAGGATGAAAGAGCGGAAAGGGGAAAACGAAAAATTGTTGGTGGAATTGCAAGGAGTTCGAGGATGATCAAGGAACGAACAAGAACAAATTATATTACAGTTGGCACCGGAATGAGGCGGAAAGAGAAAAACGAAAAATTGTTAGTGTAATATCGCCGCAAACGCTCAAAGCTTATGGGCAAGCAAGCCCCATATGTAGAGAGCATTTACAAAAACAAATAAGCACTCAGAGCTTAGGCGTTGAGCGCTCCTGATATAGAGCCATAGGAATATTAATATTCGCCTATCAGACCAAATGCATACTAGCGGAGTCCGGATTACATTTAACCCAGCATAAAAGAAACGACATAACGACACTACTGCAAATCGGTTCCTGGCTGACAATTACAAGAGCATATTTAATGAATGAAGAAAATGCAAATGTTCTTCTACTTTTCCGAATATGCGCCAACTTCAGCAAAGTACTGGACCTGCCCTCACCAAACCAACGCAAGCCAATTATTAACAGCAACCTGCACTTCTCAACTTAAAACGACCCCCAATCGTACCCGGTTCATAAGCGAAAATTAACACCTCGCACAGAAGAAATGGCTGTATACTGTCGGATCCAAAAGCTCGGTAGCAAACGCATTTGCCATTATGGCTCAAAGAACTCCATCATAGCAGGGGGCACTCGCCCTTATATTTCAATATTCGTCGCAGAAGCTAAAGCGATATTATTAGGCGAATTTGTAATCTGCACAGGCAGTACAGCCCTTGATACCGCAGTTTCAATTCTACATGCACAAAGAGGCCTTCCCAGCTGGGATCGGCATACACCACGAGCACCTTCGTCCAGCTCAGCATACTTACGAGCACCTACTAAGTGGCAAGAACCACCCAATTTGCCATCTTTGCGGAGTAGCTCTCACCATTGACCGGTATCCGAGCCGATTAGTTAGGGCTCCAACTACCTTCACAAACTGTACAAATGAAAATTATATAAAACTGATGTTCGATTTCATAAAAAAAGCTAACATCTCAATATAAGATATTATAATAAAAGAATCGTAAAATTAAAAAATATTAAAATAAGCTTGTACATCACTATTATTTCTGTATCTATATTAATTACAGCCAGAGTCGAATGTCACATCAGCTCTGTAATCAAATATTGGGTTTACCATTGTGTGCCAAGATTAATTGGTTAAATAAATAAATAAAAATGCTGGGCTTAAGGGTTATTTATTTATCTTTACAAGCTGTTATTTAAGGTCATGAAAATTATAAGAAATATTATCAAAAAGCTATAAAAAAATGATTGAGCTACTGAAGTACAGAAATCTTCTGCTAATGCTATTACAAAATTGAAATTAAGATTTTCCAATTAAACTTACCATCACTTACTAAAATAAATATTTAAAATTCATTCTAATTTTGCAAAATCATTCTTACCATCATCAGCAATCTCTGGAATTGGGCGTTGTTCCTATTAGCAGATAATATGCTTTCAGTAATGGGTCAGTCACTTTATTATCCTTTCTGTCCTTACCAATCGCAAGTCCTCCTTGCCATACAGTACCGCCGTCAGATTATCCTTGGCGTTAAGCCGCTTCATCTTCTGGGCACACTCCTCGGATCCGCCCTCCCTAAGAAGCTCCCGCGGCGTCTTTTTGGGTGAACAGCATTCGGGCGAGCCTCCTTTTATCTCGGTGTCATCATTTTTAGCGAACAGTTCAAACTTGGAAGGTTCCAGGACGGCTTCTATAAGGCAAGTGGCAATGGAGAGATTGTAAGGTGATCTTCGCCTGAGGAAGGTCCTCTCCCAACTCTTGGATACCTTAGGTTTATTATTATTCTTAAGTATGGATCCTCTCGTCGAAAAAGCAGCCAGGGAGCTGGTGCTCAGGTGGCGACGACCTGTATAGGAGGACATTTTCCGTTTGCCTTCAGTGCTTTTGCCTTCGGTGCTCTTGTCTCTGCCAAAGATCTTGTCGAAGAAGTGTTGGATGAGGCTCTTTTCGGCTGGCGGTTTGGACTCCGCTGGTATTTGCACCGCTGGCGTTTCTCCCGTAACTTTATCCAGGAGCTTCAGAGACAGTTCCCCATCGTCCAGCTTTGGCCTTTCTTTCTTTAAGTCAGGTTCCTTGACCGGAACCTTTTCCTCAACTTTCGTTTTGGTTTCATCCAATGCCGTGGGTGCCTTGGCTTTGACTTCCTCCTTTTTAGGCTTGACCTCTGGAGCTTCTAGGCTTGGACTGGATTCCTCGGCTTCCTCCATATCAGTTTTGCCTGTTTCTAGCCCGGCCGGTGAAGAGATTTCTTGGGTAATTGGATCATAGAGATCGCTTGGTGTTAGCTCAGAAGTTGTTGCCAGTTTACTTTTGGCCTCTGACTTGGTTTTGTTCACTCTTTGTGATTTTTGGGTGGCATTGGTTCTGTTACCATCTTCCTCAGCGGACTTCATGAAGGTCGAGACCTTCTGAGCCAGATTAAACCTTTTCCGTTCAACATTCTTATCATCCTCACCTTTACCCTCCTGCTTATCTTTGCTTTCATTCTTTATTTCTGTATCTTTATAATCGTTATTTTTCTTAGCCTTCTCACTGCTTTCTTCTCGTATTGTAGAATCCAAGTTACCTAGACTGGCGAAGCTTTCTTTGGCTTTGACTTCCTTGTTCTTAACTATTGCTTCTTCGTCTGTGACGGTTGAGTCCAAGTGGCCAAGTTTTGAAAAGTGATCATCGGCCTTCTTTCCTGAGTGTGGTTTTTCATCTCCTTTCTTATCAGACGCGGATGAAACAGTGGTGAAAGGATCTGTTTTACTTTCCTTTGGGGCTGTAAATATTTCAGGATGAGTCCACCATGAACTCGAAGGATTATTAAACTTTTCGAGTGACTCGAATAATTCTCTGACTTTACCTTCTTCACTTTTAGTCTGATTAGTATCGTTTTCCTCCTTAAACATTGCTACTATTTCCTCGGTGGTCTGACTTTTAGTTTTTTGCTGACCTATGGCCACGACATTCTGTTTTTCAGAATTGACCATTGCGTTTGATATATTGGAATCGCCTAATGAAGATTTCCAAGTATTAGAATCTAAACTTTTACCTACAAGAGGCTTACTCGGGGTTAGCTTAATGGGCATAGTTGCTTGGCTGGTGGTATCCTCCTTAGTATTCTTCGTAGACTTCAGTTCAGTAGATGGTATTGAATTCATTGTTTTCCTAAATTCGGTTGGAGCTTCATTCTTGGCCACGATTTTAATTGGCAACTGCAGTTTCGGGCTGATTTTGGCTGTTTTGGTGATGTCTTTACCAGAAGGTGAGGATGTCGTGTCCTTAGAAACCAATGCATTGCCTTTCTTCTCCGACATTGTGTTTTTAGACGCCGACACTCTAAAGTATGGTTTTGGTAAAGGGGCCGTAGTTCCTTCTGGGCTTTGTCCTTGGAGCGTTGATGTCGTGTCCTTAGAAACCAATGTATTCTCTTTCTTTATTGACATTTTTCTAAAATATGGTTTTGGCAATGGCGCAGGAGTTTCTCCTGGGCTTTTGGTTTCGATGGCAGTTATGTCCTGAGATTCCGAAGAATTGTCTTTCTTCACGGACATTTTCCTAAAATAGGGTTTTGGTAATGGTGCCGGAATTCGTTCATTGCTTTCGGTTTCCCTGGAAGATTCTTCCTTTTGTCGTTCCTTCGTTTTGTGTAGTTCGACCCATTTCATGATCACATTCTTATCGGTTTGATAATGCTTGATCGGAATGACTTTTTCTGGTTTCTTCTCCTCTCCCTTGTCAGATGCCAGACCAAATTCTGCATTTCTGCAGATGAGTTTCACTGAATTACCAGAAACATCTTCCTCCTGAGGCATATTAAACGTGGAAATCTGAGTGGACTTCTCAGTTTGTACTATGTGTAAAGGGCTGGGCGTAACCTTAAGGTGGAAGCTTTCACCTGAACCAGGCGATTTAGATGTCGATCCTAGCTTGAAATCATCAGACGTATGATTTAAGGGTTGGTCGTTACTAACTTGATTCTTAGAGCTATTATCTTCAGATGTTATAGAATTTTGAGACATATTCAGAGGAAGAGATTCTTGCGAATTAGAAGATTCAGATATGGACTTAACTTCAGCTTTAGCAAGGTTCGAATCCTGCGACTTTAACTGAGAAGAAGCTAGGAAAGTGTTTTCAGGCGGAAGATCTATTGAACTTGTTGAGCATTGAACGCTGGCTTCCGTACTAAATCCATTCGAGGTCAAGTCCGTTGATTTGATCTCAGATTTAATGGGAAATAAGGTTTGATGATTAGGCTCGACGATGTAATCGGATATACTTGCTGCCAGGGACTTGAGCTCGGATTCAATGGCAAATAGGTTATCTAAATTATTGTCGTCTTTTAGAGGAGTGGAGGTTATTTGGGTAGATAAGTCTATGGAGAACATGTTAAAGTTTACAACTGCGAAATCCAGCCCGGCTTTGCTTACCTTTAGTTTCTGAAAACTTTTTTCCTAAATCTTTTCTCCCTAAAACGTCTTTCGGAGTTCCCGATAGATCTTTGGAATCCAAACTGCAGACAATGGTTTGCGGATTTGGTGGCTTGACCACCGCAGGCGAGGGCTGTGCTCGATTAGGCTGATCTTGTAATGGCAGGATCTCTGGCTTCGACTCGTAGGGGCACTCTGGGCTTCGCTCTCCGGGAGTCTTCGGCTGATCGGGTGGTTCTGCTGCCGTCTCCAAGCCACCAGTGATGTTGCCTAGTGCTTTGCCTTCACCCAAGTCCTGACCCACCCGATTAGGATTTTTACCCTCTTCGGATTCCCCAGATTTCGAGGAACTGTTGTGCCGACGGCGACGTTGATGCACTAGCTCGAAGGACGGATCACGTGAGTGGTAGGAGAATCGCAGCAGCCTGATGCAGTTTGTGGTTCGGCGAAAGGCCGCGATACTGCCGAATGCAATGCCGGCCATCTGGCTGCTGAAAGTCGGAGGTCGGTGGGCGGAGGTCAACTGATACACTGCCGGGAACTCAACGAATTTGGTTGTTCGAAATAACTTTTTGTCGAAATGTTAGTTTTTGTGCATGGCTAAGTCTAAGGCCTAATGATTGTAACGCAATAGTGTACTGTGTTTTCTATGCTATATTTAGATCGCTTATGTAGTACAAAGTGCTTAGAATTTGCGAGGATTATTGGTGTCCCTGGGCTGCACGTGGATCATGACCTTGATGGCGCCACCCAGTCCCTTGCGAGAGGTGTCGAACGCCTTTGCCGTCTCCTTGATGTCGAAATGGTGTGTCACCAGTCGCTTCACACTAACTTTTCCAGAGGCCACCAATGCCAGAGCAGCAGCATAGCTGAAAGGATTCAAGGTTAGTCTAAGGATCTCTTTTAGGAACTCTAAACTTACTCATTGCAGTAGCGGAAAACTCCACGGATATCCACTTCACGGGCCAGGGCATTGATAAGGGGCAGCTTGACCTCAGCAGCTCCCATGCCGACGACAACCACGATTCCACCGGATTGGGTAGCCTAGGAAATGGAATTTGGAACTAAGTTCTTCTATTTTATTAGATCCTTTAAGATAACTTACAAAGATGGCCAGGCGGGCACTGCTCTCCGCACCACAGCAATCGATTGCTTTGTCCGGCTGACCGCCCAAGGTTTTCTTGACGAGCTCTGCTGTCTCTTCGGCGGTCTGTTCTCGCTTCAGAAGAAGAGTGTGCGTGGCACCCAGCTCCTTGGCCACATCCAGGCGCTGCTGCAGCAGATCTGTGATCAGGATCTCAGAGGCACCCATGGCTTGAGCAGCCTGTGAAGAAAGAAATTATGACTCGTTTACGGTATCCGCTGTTAAAAGCTAATATTCGCTGTTATAAATAGCTTTATCAGCCTCTTTAGCCTTGAGTTTATCTTGTTTATAGATAGATCTTAGCTTAAGCACTAAACAAATATAAACTTACCATCAGAGTGACCAGTCCGATGGGACCTGCTCCCAGGATGAGAACCTTAGAGCCCAGGGTTACCTCTGCCCGCTTGCAGGCATGCACGCCCACAGAAAGAGGTTCGAGCAAGGCGCCCTCCTCCATGGAGACGTGGTCGGGCAGCTTAAAGCAGAAGTCTGCCGGATGTTTGTAGTAGCGGGTGAGGTTGCCATCATAGGGGGGCGTGGCACAGAAGACCATTCCGGGGCACAGGTTGTACCTGCCCTGCTTGCAGTGATCGCAGTAACGGCAGGGTACACCCGGTTCGATGGCCACACGATCGCCAACCTTCAGGTTGGTTACCTTCTTGCCCAATTTTGTTACCACGCCAGCGGATTCATGGCCAATCAACCATCGGCTTGGTGAGCACAAAGTCACCGATCCTTCCGTGGGCAAGAGTAGTGGACATCTGAACCACAAATGCCAACGCTGTCCATGGCTAGAAGTACCTCTAAAAGGGAGAAAATCAAGTATTAGCTGTTAAGTAGATTAAGTATTATAAGTTTAAAGTTTAAACAAAAACCAAATTGGAATAGAATTTGGAATTTCTTTCTATCTAAACAATTATAATTTTAATTGTTTTTCTCTTGACTACATTTTGATATAGCACTTAATTTTACAAGCTGTTATTTTCGTATTAGTTAGCGATTAATTCCTGTATATTTGACCTTGAAACGTTTTGTTTGAGGCAGTAGGTCATGAAGCTGATAAGAAATATTATCAAGAAAGTTAATAAAGTGTTAAAGTGATTGAGCTACTGAAGTAAAGAGTTCTAGTCCTAATGCTAATTTTAATTAAAGTTCAAGATTGTGATATTAAACAAAAAGGACTCTATCAGTACCTCAATAATCTATTTTAAATTAAATTTATTTAATACATTACTTACCATCATCAGCAATCTCTGGAATTGGGCGTTGTTCCTATTGGCAGACGATAAACTTTCAGTAATGGTTTAGTCACTTCGTTATCCTTTGTATCCTTACCAATCGCATGTCCTCAATGCCATACAGCACTGCCGTCAGATTATCCTTGGCCATTTCTTATTTAATTTAACTTAATGAGCCCACCAATTACCGCACGCTTGAACAGCCGATTTGCAACTGATTCAAATATTTAAAACCTTACACTAGCGGACCCTCTGAATCCATGGCTATCAGTGAATGTGACGTATGTTGGAGCGGCTGATAATGATAAGAAATTAATCGGCACCACACCCACTCCCATTTCTGGTCAAAAGTTATCAGCCATATCACCACTTGATTGCAGCTGTTCCGTTGTGATTGTTTACATTTTTATTGCAGTGTAGAGAGAGGGTATACTAAATGTAGGCAAAACGTTGACTTTGTTTTTGATTTTGTTGATTGTTGATTTTTTTCATTTTTCATTTAGCATTTTACGTTTTTAATCAATCAGTTAATTTTATAGATTTTTTAGAACTTTCAAAGTTTGATTAATTTATTTTTGTGTGCAGTTTTTTGCTATTTTTGACCCCGAAAGATAAGCTCAGGAGACTTGGCTGGCTGCATATCGTATATTGATAAGCTATCTATGGAAAATCACTTTTGATGTCGGGTGATCAAAGTTATTAGCTTAGTGATTAGCTATAGATTATCAAGCAGAATCAGCACAAAGTGTGTAATAAAGAAGTTTATTTCCCAAGGAAAGGGCAACTAGGCGTATGATGAATATTTTCTTAAAAAGTTTTATAATATTAAATCTTTTATTATTTTTATATTAAAGATTACTTAACCAACTTAAAGTTGAAAGTTAATTTTCATTTTGTTTTTATTTTATTTTTGTATATTTTTTAATTAAAATTTACAATTCAAATCAACTTGGCTTAAGAGTTATTTTTCCAAACGCTTTTTTATTATTATTCCCAACCTTTATATTTATTGAGAGCGGATTGAAGTCATGTCCACCCTCATATTCTTAGGGGTATGAAAAGCAGATCACAGCACCCCTGTAATGTCCTTCGACGACTGGCATGTACTTTAGTACAAATAGGGGATGTCCTCAATGTGTCATTGCGGACATTTAACAGAACATCAAAAGTGGTTTCGCCATAAATAAGGAGACCCTAGCTGTGACCCCACAACTAGTTCACATCCATACTAACACCCACCCTCACCGGGATCTGTTGGTGCTCCTGGAACTGGACCATTTGTAATTTTTTGCTCGGACAATAACAACGACAAACAAATTTTAGTCCACTTCTGTTTTATGGCAAATTAATGGAGCGACATGCTGCCCATGTTCGCAATGGAACTTCACTCCATGCACTCGAGCCTAGCATGTGGCCCCAGCTTTCCAGCTTCCTGGCGCCCACTCCACACAAAATTCGGCCCCTCCCCCCTCTTGACCAGTTCGCCCCTCTTTCTTCTTATCAACCTTGGCTTCACACATGCCGAATAAACGTGGTTTATGGCCCTAAAGTACATTAAAAGAGGGTACTACTCTATGGTTTCCAAGGCTGTTAAGAAATTTTAAAAATATTCTTAAAACTAGCTGTCTTATAACTTTTACCATTTGTTAGTTTTAATTTCCAATGGAAGTTTAAGCCTTTAAATATGATATATAATATGAAGCTAAAAACTTAGCTTAAGTCTTATTTTATCGATCTAAATCAAATACCTTTAAAACTTAAAAAAAGTAACATAAACTAGGTTCTTAATGGTTCCTTGCTTATCAATTCTTATATGTTAAGATGTTAGGATAAAAAATACAAAATATTTACAAAATTTAAAACACTCCCTTACAGGGTATTCAAGGCTTTCATTCTCTGAACTTTCCTGTTGTCCTTTTGTTTTCGTTGTTGCTACTGCTGCTGTCACTGATGTCGATTTTGTGCAGGCACTGTGTTCGGGTGTAGCTTTCTTTTGGCTTCGTTATGTGTTGCCAGGACGGGCTAACATATTGGACATTTATTATTTTTCGTGAGTGTTTTTGCTCGTCGAGTAAATTATGGCAGTCCAATGTGGGTGGATGTGGACCAAAGCTTTTGCTAGTGATGGGAGGTACCTAGTTTGTTGTGTTTAAGTATTGTTTTCGATATCATCTAGCATTAACCAAATATTAAAAGTATATATGAATAATTTAGTTCATTATATTATTAAGGATTGGAGACTCATTTTTAAGATGCTGTTTGGGGCTAACTATGTGTCCTTCGTTTTCTTTGGTATGTGATTGATCATCAACAAGGTTTTCAACTTTTTTTTATAATTTTTAATATTTTTCTTACATATACATTTTGATAACTTAGTAACTAATATTACCTTTGCATCACTGACTTTTACCATGCATATTTTCCCCAAACTCTTCCCTAACAAATTGGTTCTTCTCAGTTGCCGCAGTCTGTCCGGTTTTTACCCGCGAAACGTTTAGCCGGCTCTGATTAGATCTGTATTAGTTTCGTGCCCGCTGATAAACCCTCCAAAATGGAATCGGATTCAAATAACAGCACCGAAGAGCAGGGCTCAGGGTGGTCAGTGGGTGGCGTAGCATGGGTGCGGGCGTGGCACTGTTGCAGGCGTGTTAAATTAATAATTGCATAAATTTTACATGTGCTGTTGCATGAGTTATGAACGAAACGGCATAAATCGCGAATAATGTGCACACTGGCCGTGCGAATATTTATGGGCGTGACTGTAAATCATCAAACCATAAACGCACTTGCAACGCCAACACCAAGCGGCCACTATATGCACCGATCCTCTCGACCTTTTGCGCTCTTTTCATTTGGGGGAGGGCACTGAGGAAAAATATTCATATAATACTAAGACTTAATATTTGGCCAAACATCTTATGTTTCATTATTATGACCTGAGAAAAGGTCCTTAACATAGTTTATAAAAACAGATTTACGATCCTTGAAACTATAAACTGAATCACAGAACATCATCCAAAGCAAAGTATTCTACTTTTGTTAATTAATTTTATTAGATAGATTTTGATAAACTGAAATTCATTTTTTTTAATACTGGAAACATAATTTAGTTAATATTTATTTTAAATTAATACTTCAATATGAAAATGGTATTACAGAAAAGTGACTCGTATTTTTAAAATAATATCCAGCCTCCGATAGTGTTTGATCCAAATTAATGCAATATATATTTATTTATAAAGGCCAAATCAAGGGGTATTTCACCATTCGATCACTATCTTTAAAATTTGATGCCAGTTTTTATTCGCTTGGCTGGCGGAATTCCGGTTGTCGTTTCAAATTTTTGAAAACTCAGCAGTGACAAATGCGAGAATTTAATGAAGTTGCATAATTGTTAAAATATGATATTAAATATATTTAAATGAATGCAATTTGTTGCTTTAATGTTTAAGTAATATGCGAGATAAACTAAAAAACTTTGTTTAATAAATTAATATACAATTTTTCGATATTCATATCGATACTTAAAAGTTTTACGATAAATGCTACGATCAAACGCCTAGTTTCGCCGTAAGCCCAAAAGTATGCAATGCTTCCTTCAATTCTGCAGTATTTTTTCCGCCAGCACACGAAAATAAATAAGCCAAAGATGTTGTCTTCGGAATATCCTCCGTTACTGTCTTTGTCAATGAAGAACTTCCGGCAGCTCTCGGCCATTAGTCTTAATACACGCATGGAGATGAACCGAAATTTGCCCAATAAAAGTTCGATGCCATAAATTAAGAGCGCATCCTGCGCCATGTCCATGGCCCCGGGCCAAGGATGCGAAGGAAGCGAAGGATACCAGGCGCCAGCTGCCGGACGAAGGACAGAATTGGATGTAACTCAGGAGAGAGTGGTAAAGGGGTGTGCTGACCAATGGAGGAAGAGATATGCGATCAGTAAATACGTTTCCGTTTCGTTTGCTAATACACTTCCGCCAGGAGGATTCAGCTTTAATTCTTAAAAACAACCTCCAACCGCTGATGGAAGCTGATGAAGCTCCCCAAAAAAGCAGCTGGAGATACAAAGTCATTACTCTCAGCTGGTGTCCTGTAAACTCGCAACACTTTGATGTTTCAGAAATTATTTCATTTTCTATATCCTCCACTCCAGCTGCAGCAGCAGGACCTGGAGCAGAAGCAGCAGCAGCAGGAAAAGAAGAGGACAGGACGCGGACCTTAGATTTATGGCTGGGAGCCAGACAAAGTGTCTGCGGTTCGGTCAGAGCCTTCAAGGCGAATTCTGCGGGCCTTTGTGTATCGTCCATTCCATCTCAGTTGCAAACTGCGCTTTTCCCTCCGACTGTTCGTTGAGCAGGAAAAACGCCAAAGCTGCACAAGAAAACTTGAGGTATGGGTGGAAACTTGGCCGGGTCACATGTGAGTCAAAGTAACGGAGACATGGCAGCCAAAGGAGAAGATTGGTTAGTCAAGTTTTTCGCAGCTCTGTTGCAAGTTGCAACTCTCAAGATGAAAGTGCAGCAATTGCACAAGCGAAAAAGTGCAACCGGATGTCGGAAGTATTCCATTCAATCTGCAAACAAGTCGCAACTGCAGCGAAATGAGATATTCATTTTTTATTCAAATTTCACGACGGCAGAAAAACATCCTTGTCTGAGATCCTGTGTCCACTGTTGCTCTTAGTTTAGATGTCTAAGCAGAGAGGAAAATGTTAGAAAATGTTAGGAATATAGTTTTAAGATAGTTTCTTAAGATTAATCATTAGAAAAATTGCGATAATAAAAACTGTAAGCTAAAATGATATTTTTGCTTGACAAATTCCATAAAAATCACCGTAAAAATAAGAAAAAACTTTTCACTACAAAATCATCTTCATTTAGACTTTATATTTCTATTTTTTCCACTTAGATTATTTTTAAAAATGCATAAAAAGTTAATTATTAACTATTATGCTATTTTTTCTCTGTGCTCTCTGTTGGTTCTTCTGCGGAATTTCCTTTTGCTGCACCCAAGTTTTTCACTGCTGCTGCTAAGTTTTCCATTGGTGCTTCCGGCGCGAGGAAGATGAATGCCTCGCCAACGACAACACGATGACGCCAATAGTTTTTCCTTTCTCAGCTCAGTCTCAGCCGAGTTTAGCTTTTCCGAGTTTAGCTCAGCTTGTGGTCTCCCCAAGTTTTGTTGATTTAGGGAGCCAGGAAAGGGTT